CCTCCACCACCCGGTGGTGGGAGAGCCCCACCACCGCCTCCCCCACCCGGTGGTGGGAGAGCCCCGCCACCACCTCCCCCACCGGGTGGTGGTGGAGCCCCAGCACCCCCTCCCCCTCCGGGAGGTCGTGGAGCCCCACCCCCTCCTAGACCTCCTGGTGGTGGTGGACCTCCTCCACCTCCACCACTAGGTGCAAGAGGAGCAAACGCTCCACCTGACCCTAGAGGTTTGTCCTCTGGAAGAGGGCGTGGGCTATCACGCTCAACAGCTACAGCACCTCGAAGGTCCTCCTTAAAGCCCCTACATTGGAGCAAAGTAACGAGAGTTCTGCAAGGGAGCCTGTGGGAAGAACTGCAGAGATATGGAGAACCTCAAATGTATTCTGAATTTTCTTTTAATTTATCTTGCTTATTTGAATTTGAAAATCACTCTCTGCCTTACTATCAGTGCTTTAATAATATTTATGCTATTTGCGTCTTATTGGTGCTTCCTTTTTCTCCCGCCTCTTCAGTGCACCAGAGTTTGATGTGTCTGAGTTAGAGAGCCTCTTTTCTGCAAATGTTCCCAAACCTGCTGATGGAGGTAAATCTGGAGGGCGAAGGAAGTCTGTTGGATCCAAAAGTGACAAAGTTCACCTGGTAATTTTATTGATAGAGTCCTTTGTAGGAAGTCTCATTTTTATGATGGAAAGCACTTCAAGGATTAATAATCTTCGTCTGTTGATTATTATTACAAATAATTTGAAACTCGATACAATTAACATTCAGAGTGAGAGTTTTAATTTGTATTTGTGAGACTTGAAGAGCTGAACCCTGTGAAACAAAAGAGAAATTAGTTCAAACCAATTTGTAACAGTAGGTTAAAATCTAGTACGACAAAGTATCGGAAAATTCAGTGAGTTTAGAAAACCAACACTTTGAGGAGTGACCTTAATGAAATAAAGTGACCTATGAAGTTTTCCATTCTCATATTTAAAACAATTATAACATCAATTTGAAGGTGCCTTCTGGGATTCTGCATTCCTTAACGAATTACATTTTATTATCTTCTAATATATTCTTTAAATGATGTTAAAAAATTGTAATCTAGCTTGGGATAGAGGCCTTTTTTGATTGACATACTTTTCCGAAAGAGCAATGTGTTCATTTAGATGAGCATGTACAACGAGAAAAGAATAAGCATGAATTTTTTTTGGTGTATGCTACAGTGATTCAGTGGGTATGTTAGCTGGTATTATAGTAATTATCATGGTTTTATGAGTAGTCTTTAGTCAATGCGATCTACACATGTTCTCTCTCAAAACTCTCTACATTAAGATAGCTTGCACGGTANGAATTAGCTAAAGTAACAAAAATATGAGAATAGATTGAAATGAAATAAATATATATATATATCAAATAATAAAAAGTATTTTTTAATAAAATATTTATTTTAAATAATTATGATAGGTCAAAATGGAAGAATCGACACTCTTTACATTGGTGTTGGTCGGTTCAAAAAAAATCCAAAATATGAAATCTGAAACTCGTAGGCAAACTTTATTCCTTGGTAAATAAATTTTTCGGGTTAAGTTTGTTGAATTAACCATGTAACTAACTTTTGTTTGGGTAAAAAAAAAATCCGTCGACCCAACCTAATCTAGACCATGTACCAACCAACCAAATTAAGTCTTATCTCCCTAAGCAAAAAGATGTCACTGGACTAAATGCACATTAATCGACTTTTATCACATAATTAACTTTTATAATAAATTAAATTGTGAGTGTATTAATCTTTTATATACACATAATTTCTTTAAAAAATCTTTTATAATTATTTTTTAACTATGATTTTTTTTTTTTTTTTTTTTAAATTATATGATATTTTGTGTAAATTAGGTTTGATTTATTTACCTTCAAACCCAATGGCAAAAGTATATATAGAATAGGAAGCGGTCCTTCAAAACCAATGTCCCACATCGTTAAGTTGGACTGCAGAGTTAAAGTAGTTATATGGAAGAATGCAAGGAATTGGGAACGACCATACTTGTTCTATAGGTTGTACAATACTCGAGGAGACAAGAACCGAATGTCTGGTTGACGAACACTGCTCTGCGTTTAACGTCTCAACGTTCTCGGTAGGGGTTGTTTGGTTTTTTTTTTTTTTTTTTCCTTCAAATGAGACTAAGATTTGCAATTTGATTTACCACTTTGGAACAGTGGTGGCCCGCCCACCTCAAGAAGATGCTCCCCACACGGGCAATTGTGCCATTTTTGCAAGTCCTTGTATTCTTCGAAATAAAGTACGAGCATGGTCTGAATGAGAACTTTGGGCTGATGAAATGCACATAAGACCATTCTTTTATAAAGAGTTTAGAGTTATTCTGTTGGTTGTATAGGCATCTTATTACTATTGTTATTACTACTTTATAAAGAATTTAGAGTTACTTAGGGCTCCTATGTATATCATTGTGATAATTTCAACGAGAGAACTTTGGATGTTGAATTATTTTCATAACTATTTTTTGGCATAGAGGTGGTAGGATTGGTAAGCTAGGGTGTGTGCCATTGTATAGGGATGCTTTGGGATGGAAGGAACCGTAGAATTCTTAATAGAATTTGTAAAGGGCTTGAGAGGCTATGAATGAGACTTGGTACTTTATTAGGTTAAGTGTGTCCATCTGGGCGGTCTATGACAATTTTTTTTTTTGTAACTATCCATTAGGTCTTATTTGGCTGATTCGAAGCCATTTTTATAGTTTGCCTTCTTTTTTTTATGCCCTTGTATTCTTTCATTGAGAAATGAATGTTCGGTAGTTCGTTCGGTTTTTTAGGAAAGGGATTCTTTAATTTCGAAGGAAATATGCACTTCCTTGTTTGAGACAAGGAAGTTTGTAATGCTCTAATTAGCCTAATGCATGGACAACTTATTTAAGGATATTGAGGATTCTGGAAAGCCTGAACTATCTCGTCAAGATGTTGCTTATTCAATTAACATTATAGGTCAATACAATACATCACAATTTCCAGCTTGAAAGCTAGACCTTGTTTGTTGTTCAACTTTTTATAGGATTTTTGATTAGGGTAATTTAGTTTAGTAGAAGAGTAAGAAGTAAAATGTACAATCATGTGTGGGTGAAAAATCAAAATCAAGAGCTATGACATAATTTGTGTGTGAAGTTGTGTGGATACATTAACTTTAGACTGAGTTAGGTTTCAATATCATAATTCAGTCAAACTGCAAAGTGATAACCGAGCTCCTTTTATGATTACCTCCATGAGTGAACCATGATTCATTATGTTAAACCACCAGATATGTAAAATCTGAACTACAGGTTGGGACATTGTTACTAGGGCTCTAATTAAAACATGTTTTAGGCTTGATTAACATATATACTCCAGCATATGGGTTGTTGCCTATTTCTTTTAGAAATGAATACTGAAAATTTTTATCATGTACATGATTTTGTTTCTTTAAAACATGTTGAGTAAATGATAATTTTGAATATATTTATATTTTTTGTAGATTGACCTCAGAAGAGCTAATAACACTGAAATTATGCTCACCAAAGTAAAGATGCCTCTTCCTGATATGATGGTAAGTCAGACTTATTTCTTATTTTCAGTACATCTACACGTCTACCGAAACCATGTATGTTTGAAACTGTCTGCTGCAATGACATTGAATATTATACATGCTCAATACCATAATTTTGTTCTATATTCATGATGATTAAAGCCCCTGCAACAATTGAAGACTGGAGTGATTATAGTTTAAGGGGAAAAAATTGACTGACCCACAACAGCTATTCCTATCTTTTACCATCACTATCTACCGTTGCCCTTTACCTTCCAAGGCTAGAAAAACGATCAGCAAGTCTATTGCAAGCTATAAACGGTACTTGTGAACTTCAAGTTCAGACACACTAGGATGATCCATGTTCCTTGTCTGGAAACCACCAATCCTCATTAACTTGGAACTATAACACAATGAGAATGTATTGCAGTTCTAGTATGAATTTTAACAAAATGAAAAAATTTTGCATCTGAAAAACTGTAAGATTATTAGGTTTTTCTACTTCTAGATTACCAGGTTGAGCACATGCGTAGTCTTAAGTTTAAATTTTGCTATTGTTAACAGATGTCTGTTGAGAAGGATAACGCTATATTGGAGACACTGAGTTGATAAATACACTTTCTTTTCTCATTTTACAGAAACTTGTTTTTAGCGTTACTCATGTATTTTATTTATAATAGTGAACGTAATTGATGAAAATTCTTGCTTTTAATGTATGATATCTCAGGCTGCAGTGCTAGCTATGGACGAGTCAGTATTAGACGTTGATCAGGTGGAAAATCTCATAAAATTTTGTCCTACGAAGGAGGAGATGGAACTTCTTAAGGTGAATTTTTGAATACTTGGAATTAACGGCTGGTGGAAGAAATAAACTTGACTATGAGAACTTTTTCATAGTTTCTCAGAATACTAACAATTCTGTAGTCTCTTGTTTTGTATTTTTTATTTTTCTTCGTTCTTTTATTATTTTTGTTGACATGTTTATTGTTTATTATCTATCTAGGGATACACTGGTGATAAGGATAACCTTGGAAAGTGTGAACAGGTATTCTGTTTACTTTGTTGCACATAATAAATTACTTGATAAAGCCATGAAACCTGTTACACTAAGTGTTTCCGTGAATGAGTGATGCTTTAGAAAATTAGCTTGCTGTTGCATTTTCCTGATATTGATTTCTAATATTGTTCATTATGATTGACCACTGCCTGTCAAATAATTCATGTCATGTAGCAGGGTAAAAAATGACGTCTCTCATCTGGGGCTAGGGATGTTATCTGGATGGGGTTGTTATAGCTTCCTCCCCATCCTTGCAAAATTTTCCATTAAATTTTGTTGGGTTCAGGGGTGGAGATTTCCATCTGGGAGTTCTTTCAGTATTGGGTTCCCCGCGGGGAATTATTTTTAAATTAAATGAACCAAAGAAAATTCCCATTAAAGAGATATTTCTTAAACCACCTAATATGAATCAAAATAATTTTCCATGTTAAATCTCTAATTATCCGTACACACAGAATCAAAATAATATTCCATGTTCAACTATATTATATGTATAAGAAGAGGCAAATGGGCAGGAACGGGAAACATTTAGCTCATGGGGAATATTTTCCTTCACTCATTCCCGGGGGGATTGGGGGAAGCTCCCCTATGTGGGTCTCTTTCTCTCTTATTGTTTTTTTACGAGTTTGGTGAACTTCCCCTGTTTGATGTTGATAACCATTTCATTTCTAGTTTTCTGTTTTTGAAATTTATGCATGTTTTCTCTCCATGATTGTACTAAGGTTTTCATCTTTTGTTTTTAGAAACTCTGGAATTCTTAGTCAAATTCTAAAAACAAAAACAAGTTTTTGAAAATTACTTTTTATTTTTTATTTTTTTATGGTTTTTGAAAACATTGGTAGTAAGTGGATAATAACCAAACAAAGAAATTTATAGGTGAAAGCAGGGTTTATAAGCTTAATTTTTAAAGCAAAAAACCGAAGACCTTTTATTATCAAATGGGGCCTTAAATTGCTGGTATTCACTTCTGCTTTAAGATTATTTGTTAATTGGATCCATTTGAATAGCTCACTTGCCTAACTTATTGCTTTGATTATCATAGGTAAAAAGCCATTTATTTATTTTGTCATCTTTTGTATCAGTATTTTTTGGAGCTGATGAAAGTGCCTCGAGTAGAGTCAAAGTTGAGAGTGTTTTCCTTTAAGATTCAGTTCGGTTCTCAGGTTTGGTGGTATCTTCAATTCAAACTAATTTTGTTGTTTTAATATTTCTAGATTATTGAATTACATCTTTTAACTGGCATCTTTGTTTCCCTTCTCCAGATATCAGAATTTAAGAAGAGTTTAAATACTGTCAACTCTGCATGTGTCGAGGTTGTTACTGCTGAGAATAAAATTTTGCTGTAGTTTTGGTCTGTCACTTTAACCTTTCATGCTTCCACCCTTCTAAAATTAATTGTTACTGCCTTTTAGGTTAGGAATTCTGCCAAACTGAAGGAGATTATGAAGAAAATTCTTTATCTGGGGAATACACTGAATCAAGGAACGGCAAGGGGTAAGGCCTTAGTTACTTATTCGTATATGGGAAGTTCATCTCCATTTTCATCTATTTTGATACCTAGCTTGGAAGGAAATATGACTATAACTTGCATATAAATAGAAATATTTATTGAGTAATTCTTTCTTTGGTGTGGAATTAAATTTTTTTTTGCAAGGATAAACTTGAGTTTGTTTTACAGTCTCGTGGGACAATGACTAAATGTACTAAAATAATGTTGTCGCTTATGTTACCATATGGTGTCATGCTATGATTTGTGCATTTATTTACTGATGAGTGGTCTAGTTGCTGATCCATACTATTTCTAAGCAACATGAAAACAGTCGAACTATTAAAAAAGACACTATTTTTACCTGCATCTTGCTGCTGCTCGATGGTATATGCAAATATGCTTCTTCTTCTTCTTTCTTTATTTTATTTTATTTACAATTTTATAGTTTATAATTTTAAAATTAAACTCATGACATGTTCAATGAATGGCTAATAAAGCTCAAACCTCATCCCAGTCTGGTTGAATGCTCACATGGTCCCATCTTATCATTTATATGACCAGAAATTATTGGCAATTTTGAAGGGGTTTATATATTGGATGTCTTGGACTTTGTCCATTCATTTGCTTGGTTTGTGTAATTGAAAAAACTATAAATTATGAACTTACAGGTTCTGCAGTTGGCTTCAAGTTGGACAGTCTTTTAAAGCTTGCTGATACACGTGCTTCTAATAATAAGATGACACTCATGCATTATCTTTGCAAGGTTTTTTAATCTGATTATCCCTTTGCTTTTCTCTTTCTATTGGGTTATTTATGTTTATTTCCTTCATGGTTGATTAGAGAAGTCACACGTGCATTATGCCTTCACATGTTACCTGATATGTAGTTGTAGATATATTAGTGCATATCCAGCCTGTTTCTGTTCATAGTGAGAAATGTCTGTATAAGCACTGAAGCTGGTCAAATTAAGAAGCTGTATTTTTTTTTTCTTGGTCACTTTCATTAGTAGGAAAAGAATTATAAAATAATTGCAGCGAAAAAGGAGAGCGAGAACCACAAAAAGTGAGAACTGTTAAAACCCTCATGGAGGATGTGGGCCAAAAGGGACAATAGACCGGTACCCCCCACCCTTCCAAAAAAGATGTCTTCAGCAAAAAAAGCCATTTACTAAAAATCCTTCGAAGAGATATTTTCAAATGTGCCTTCCCAAATATTGATATGAGATGAAAATCTTCATAAGAACTTGCGTTTGTGTTGATATATTAGAGCTTAGATGTGTTCAATAAACCTCACTAAAACGGGATGGGTGGTTGTCTTGATAGACTTTTTTTGATGCAACACATTGTGTTAAAGAATGTGATACCTAAAAGCATGAAACTATCAGAATACCTGAAGAAGTTTTAGTATATTGCACTAGTGGGCCTTTGGTCATGCATTTTGTTCTGACGTAAGGAGATGATTTGAGTTATCAGATTTCGCGGTTTGAGTACTATGTTCATAGATCTTTAATTAGTTTGCATCTCTGGAAGGAGATGAACCCTTCTGTACTTAAGGTTGGTTTGCAATCTCAAATTTTTTAGGTCCTCGCTTCAAAGACGCCAGCTCTTCTTAATTTTCATTTGGACCTGGGTAGCCTAGAGGCAGCAACCAAGGTACGATTCTTTGGTTTTTTCTTCAATATTTGTTAGTTGGTTTATACTTTTGACATCTATACATATATATTTATAAGAAATATAAATTTTCATCAAGGATAACGAAATACACAAAACATTCCAATAAATTTTTGATATGCACTCCAATTTCTGTGCTAGGAGAGTATAAACTTTAGAGAAACTCCAGAAAGAAACATTGCAAGTAATGGCCTCCCAATCTTCCCCCTTGTTCCTTTGTCATTGAAGAGTTTTTTTGCCGTTGTTCCTGAAGAATTTTATTCTCTTTGTTGCTCCTGAGGAATTTTCCTTTCCCTTCCATCCAAGCATGCAAATATTGTTTAAATGGACCTTGGTTTTTGTTAACTTCATATTTTCTCTCTATGTAGATACAATTAAAGTCTTTAGCAGAAGAAATGCAAGCTATAATTAAGGGGTTAGAAAAGGTCAGGCAGGAGCTTGTTGCTTCTGAAAGTGATGGTCCAGTTTCTGAAATTTTTCGCAAGGTACATTGCCTTTTCATATGTTCTTCCCAAGAACTTTTTGGCATTTTTATTCTTCCATCAATTTTGCACTTTTTTGCCTTTTCATATATATATGTTTCTTATAAAGAGGAACAAATAAATAACTTGATTCAATTTTCTTTGCATGGAAGTCGTTTACCTATGGAGAAATTTCCTGTAACATGCATATAGTCCTACATTCAATTACTTTGGAAGGATAATTCCAGTAAAACTATGCTCTCAATTGTCACTTGAAAGAATTAATCATACATCAAAACGGCACTTTAATAATTTGTTTAATCATATGTTGATTGTGATATTGAACTTGACAATCATGTTTTTGAACTTTCTAGGTATTAGTACATGTTATTAAATTTTGAAATAATCAGGATATTTGCAATCTCCACTGAATTTGAAGTATACTAGATCAGAAAAGAGAATTGGATTCACACAACTGATCAACATCTCACTTTTCACCCACAAATCTTCCAATTCAGAAAGATCCTCAAGCAAACATTTTGATGCAAACCAGGACCACACTTCAGCAATCTATGACGTAATTTAAATAAGCAAAATAAATATCATGTGAAAAACTTGAGATCTTCACCAAGAAAAATCTTATTATGTAATCATGCATTTCTTTTCTTAATATTTGCTTTTGCTCAACTGCCCAAAACAAAAACGATAGTATCATTATTTTGAAGAGTTGGTGAAATTTGATTTGGTACCCTGACAACCCTTTTCTGTACTTTATTGTCCTAAAATTAGACGCTGAAAGAATTTATTGCTATCGCTGAGACTGAGGTGGCATCAGTGACAAATCTATACTCTACTGTGGTAATTTTCTAGATCGCACTACTATTTTGAAATGATTAAATGATGTCAGGAAAAGAGAGCGATCTTATTTTTCGTTCTGTTATTTGGTGGACAGGGTAGAAATGCAGATGCACTTGCACTATATTTTGGTGAGGATCCAGCTCGTTGTCCATTTGAGCAGGGTACGCTATGATCCTTTTGGTTGTGCTATTATCTTCTTCTACATGTTTACTTGTTTCGCATACTTGAATCAAAGTTAAGCCTCAGTTCTTCCAAATTTTTGTTTTCTCATTATTAGTTCCCCACCTAATAATTATTATCATGCGTGCTTATGGTCAATTTTTCTCGCTTGAAAAGCTGGGTCACTTTGTGTTGGCTCTTTGGCTAGGAAATATTGCATAATGGGGTTTCTTTGTTTTGTTATGCAATGTTTTTTAATTTTCCCATTCCCTCCTTGTCTAGTTTTCATGAATATGGTTGGAAGAAGAGATGTAGAATCATGAACCTGAACTTGTCCGACAATGTTATTCTCGTTATATGCATGTTCTTGTTATGAACCTCAAAACTGTTTGAATCGTACAATTATGTATTGTTTAGGGAATATTGTTGTTGTTTCTTTCTATTCTTGCTGTTTGTGATATATACATGGTTGATTTTACACCAATTGGGCTGCAGTTACAGTGACATTATTGAACTTTATGAGATTATTTCGGAAAGCCCACGAAGAAAACTGCAAACAGGCCGAACTGGAAAGGAAAAAGGCGGAGAAAGAAGCTGAAATGGAGAAAGCCAAAGGAATTAGCCTTACGAAGAAGAGTGTGAAATAGGTGATATACTTGAGTTCTCCTTAGCACGGGAGATTGAGCTTTTGTTGTCACCTTGGGGCCGAGGGGAAGCATGCTTTGTGACCAGCTTCAAAGAAAATCCAATTTGAGATATGTTCTGCAGTGCTAAAACCTCGATGAACATGGATAAACACATGGGCTGTTTATTTATGCCTGCAGAACTTGAGTTGGCCAAGTTGTTTATTTGTACATAGTTGACGTGCTGCTACCTGGACCAACAGAATCGTGTCCCAACTCTGAATAGACATATCAACCATGGAGATAACATTGGGTGCTGACCATCTTCGCCAATCAAAGGTATTCCATGTGCTGGTAGCTTCAATTCTGATTATGGGTTTGGCTCCTCCCGACAGATTTTTTCAGAATATTGTTTTCAATCCTAGATCAGTGTTTGGATTAAAGTAGGTGATCTGGTTTCGGCTTTGACAATGAATGCATGTGGCATAAAAGTTTTGGGCAGAGAATTTGCATCCTTGAAATCCAGCCGTAGCACGAAGCCATGTACAGAGCGAGCCTCTCTAACCATTCCATACATTAGAATGTAAATTTTTTTGTTGTTTGATGATGTATCATGAAAATAGTCTCTCCCTCTTATTTGTAGATTTTTTTGACTCAAACCCGTCCTAGAGATGTTGTATAGCTCAGATTCAGAGAGTAATTAGAAGACGGGTTCTCCCACCACTGTAATTGTAATATAAATCGAAAATATAGGCCACGTTTGAAATCCTCTCGTTTCTCTCTCACCTTTATTCCTCCACATAAAAGGTTCACTCATTCATCTATTTTTTGTCCTGGTTTTCCTCCAGGCATTACCATAATGGGACATTCCTTGTTTGTCTTCGGTGAAAATTTCAGACAAGGATTATCCACCACACAGCTCATCATTGAGAATCGGTTCAAGTGCCTGAAATTTTTTTGTGGATGTTGTATCACTTGGTTCAAGGTACTCGGGAAAAATTTTAGTATAGAAATACTAAAATTGAGGAAATTCTCTTAGGTGCTTGGTGCCCGTTATTAACGCTTTTGAAAGGAGCTTTGTAATTGGCAGATCAACTCCTCGTGGCATTAGAGACGTTTTAAAGGAGCACAGATGTTATACGAAAACACTGTATTTTTTTGGAGTTTCGAAAGGATCCAGAGAAGAGATTGAGGAATATATACGTAAACTGATTACATAATTTCTTATGGCATAATGATGTTTCAATATTTTCTCCATAAAATCTAAAAACAAACGAGCAAGTAAGTATACTATGAAGAAAAGTAAAAGAAGGCTTAATCCATATGGATATCCCCATCCCAATGTCCTGAAAGATTGGTTATTTACAACTTGTAAGTAATAGGAATTTGAATGCAGAGCTTAAAAGGCTAAAGAGATGATTCCCAGTAATTCTAAGCAGCTAAACAAATCATATTTTTTGCAAATATTCATGAGTTCCAGACTCCCTAGAGTAAAAATTAACAAGAGAGTCTGTTTCAATTCTCTCATGGAAGTTCTTCAAAACCCTTCAAATGCGGGCGACCTTCATTGTCCTTCTCAGCAACACCCATCCAAAGGCAAAAAGAGCTCTTGATTTCCAGACCCATCAGAGAACCCACTCTGCAACTTTTGAAGAACATGGTGTTAACAATGGCGTCCAGGACAACAAAAACCGAGTACAAATAGGCAACAAACATTCCTTCCAGCACCATGGAAGGCCCCAATCTCCCCCTGGAATGATAATCTCGTACTATTCTGTACTGGAATAGAGCTTCAGTGGCCGCCATTCCCAGATTGAAAGGCAGCGCCACCAATAGCGCCGTGGCGCTTCTCCCCTGAATCAAAACACAAGCCTTAAGAATCGCCATGAATCCCCCATTCCTCTCCATGCCGGACAAAACCCATGCCAAATTGCATATTGTGATGGCTTTGGCAATTGCTACTGAATACAGAAAAGCCCCAAAAACTGACACCAACAGGAGGCAATTGGGAGAAAAATACCCAAATCCCTCGAGGCAATTGAAGGCGAAAAATAGCATACAAAACACGGTAGCGTTTGCAGAGACGTAAACGCATACATTGCAGACATGGGTCAGAAGGAGGGGATTAAAAAGGGGTATAATGGATGAAAATGAAGGCACCGAATTGGGTTTCTGCTGATTGAGAGCTTGAATTACACAGGCTTTTGAGATCAAAAGGAAAGTGAGAGAAAAGGGCAGAGAATAGATGGAGGAAACGATGGTTTGAGAGAGCTTTTGAATGAGAATGGAGAAGAATTTTGAAGAAGTGGGGAATCCAGCCGCACCAAATAGAGTCCTCAAGTGATCAAAAGTAAATGGAAGAAGAGAAGAAGAAGAAAGAAGAAGAGCTTGTGAAAGAAGAACAGAGATGGCATATGGAAATGCCAGAACAGCTACAATTGAGGTGAAGTACTGATAATTCTGAAGGAAACTGTAAATCGATCTTCTGACGAGCTTCCTTGGTTCCTCCATTGATTCAAAATGATGGGTTTTGGATTCTGGGTTTTGAATCAAATGGGCTCTAACAAGTATGCTGATTTGTGGCTGTGCATTTTTCAGCATAAGAAGAAGTTATCGATTCTTCCATATCTAACAAACAAGCAAGAAGATGGAGAAAAAGTTACCTTCCTTTTTGAATTTGCTTGAGGCTTGAGGATTGGCTTTCATTTCACCCTCTTTGCTTGATGATGCAATTTCAGTTCCTCCTTTAAATTGCTTCTAATTCACTCCTTTCGCCATTTGTTTTATAATAGTCGCACGCAACCTTCCTTTTTCTAAGTCCATAAACAAATAATTTTCAATAATTATCATTTGGGAGAACTTTGAAAGCAAGGGATCCAGAGAGAGATTGATCACCTAATGCTTCATCTATCTATCAACCACAGCCTATAAGGTTATAATTAATTGCTTAATCAATCAACCATTCAATTACCCATTTTCATCCAATTTATGTGGTATTTATTTCAGTGTAGTTTCAAATTGGATAACCAACAAAAACTACGACCCTTTGGGAAATTTAAAATGTTGTGTAGATATTATTATATTAGAATAGCAAATAATCAGGGAAATTTAAGTAAATCCACTGAAACCCCAGAAAGTGGCCCCCTGCAAAAAAATAATAGAGGAAAAAGCCATCGGCTCTGTCCATTTATTAAAGTGATTCCATAAATGGAGCCAAGACCGTAGCTAAACTCCAAGCAACTTCAACATTCCTTTCATTCTTATTTATTTATTTTTATTTTTATAAAACTTATATTCATTATATTCATTATTGAAGGGGTTAATAGTTTTTTCTCTTTTGGTATTTTAGCTTTTAAAATGGAAGATGTATTTGTTAAAAGGATGTGAATGGCAAGCCTTTCTGACCTACGCTTCATGGCGGATGGTAGATGTAGATCTCACCTTATAAAAACAAACAAAATTTTAAAAAATAAAAAATAAAAGTTAGGCACTTTTTTTTTTATTTTAATTTTTTAATTTTTTAATTTTGCTTAATTTTATCATCATTTATATGGATCTAGTTGATTACCAAACATGGGACAACCCCTTGGTTCCTTTTTTTCATATAAATTTTTTAATTTATTTTGTTTTATAATAAAGTTTTGGTATTTTATCGCCATCATCATGCTTCACTTCCTAAAATTTCTTTGCAAAACTTATATTTTAAGTTCTATTTACTTTCTACCTTTCTACTGAATAAGGAATGAGAATAAAACTTTTAATTTTCTTTAATGATGTTTATTGGAATTTTAGAATTAAACAAAAAGTGAGATTCATCTCACTTCCAAAAAAAAAAAAAAAAAAAAAAAAAAATCTAAATCTTAGTCCCCAACTTTATTTTCTTAAATTTAATTCTTACTATTAGTTTATAGTTAATTTTCTAATTTTTTTAATTAAAATTTTCAAACATAAAGTTGGAAACATATTTACATAAGAGTATTTTGCGGCACAAAAATATTTATTATTATTTAACTAAAGACTAAAATTTAACAAATTACAACTATAGTAAAATAATACTTTAACCATCTTATTTATATTTGGAGGCATTACCTATGAATCCAACAGCCACCCAATTGTTTACATGTTGGGGAATGCCTGAATAAACACAAGAAGATTCATATACAGAGGACGGGGAAGTGGCAGAAGATTCAAACTTGAGTGAAATAAGTAATGGAGAGAGGGAAACAAAAAGCAGCAACCACGAGATCAATTGACTGAAATAAGAAAGAACGGAAAAACTAATGGCCACAAAGGAGTTGTGATGGAACCATAAAGAAGCTTAAGACAAAGGGTGCAATCAAAGTCATCACTACCATGGTTCACATTCTCGGCATGCTCTTAGTTTTTCATCCATATATTCAAAATTTTAACTGGGCTAAATCATACCAAATATCCTAATATCCTTTAAACTTTAGAGTGTCTTCGTAATCTTAAACTTTAAAAAGTTACAAACTTAAGAGTGTGTTTGGGCTAGATCATGCACTTATCCGGTTTCGGTGGTTTTAAGTTGTCGGCAGAAAAAGGAAGATGAAATTGGGAATTACAGACAACAGGGAGTAGCGGGAGCCGGAGGATGGCACATCATTGATGCCGCCGAAACCTCCCCTTTCGGATTCTATTCTATCTATCTTTCTTTCTTTGTCATCCACATTTAGCCAAATGTTATGACAAATATGCCTGCCAATGCCTATTGGGATGCGATTTCCCGCCTCGGATACTATCCTTACCCTTACCCTTACCCTATCAACCTTCCTCCACGAATGTCCATCCGCAGGCCCTTTTCCAGGTGCAGCCTGGGGCTTGTCCAACATTTAAACAATACAACAAGCTCTGTATACCCTTATATCAAAATATATTCTAAAAAGACCTACCAATCCGAACATAGTTCCCAAAATAAAACATCCATTGACTTGTCTGAAGTTGAAATGAAAGTTCGAGCTCTCACCTCTAATCCAATCCTACTTCTGGGCGAAACAAATAAAACAAATAAATATATAAAATGATGATGATGAAGCCTAGGACTTATACTTGCCATCAGTCTTTCACTGGACCAACCAATGCAAGAGAGATTCATGCTCCATCATTCCACTACAGGACATCAATTCTTTTCTCTGTATTTTCCCACACTTCATGAATATGATTGGAACTTCAGATTCTTGTTTGTTCTAAGCATAGCATTGAGAAAATTGATACTCCATTTCAATCACCTATATACTTCGCAAAGCAGGATAGTGAGTGTGGGTGAGCATACTTCGGGAGATGGCTCTGTGACACAAGACTGTGTTTGGTAGAAGGAAACTAGAGGAAATTTGTGTTTGAACCAAGTTCTGGCTCAAAAAAGAAGTTGATTTTGATCCAAGTTATAACCTGAAGTAGAACATCAAAAAGAAACGAACACTTGAACTCACAATAGACTTGTTCCACGCTCCTCCAAAATACAGATAAATGCAATCCCAGATCTTTTAACTCAACAACTGCAAGCATCTAACTTATGCTTCAAAATTTGACATATACCATGTCATTTTCAACAAGAAACTGCAGGAGGTCCAGCACTAGTGATACCGGTTGTTCGAAGCACACTCTCCTTACAAAGGATTCTGGCTTAGTAAATACTAACTAAATCCTCAAGCAGCTCTTTGCTTCACCAGAGATGCTGTTTTATTCTATGAAGGCTAAGGTTGGTTGCAAAGTGATTCTTTCGTTATCATATCCAATTTCTGCACTAGGATTCGTGGGGAAAGATCTCATCACATCCAAAACCATTCACCAAATTGGATTTCCATTATTCACACCGATGAATTAGCTAAGAATTACAACCCCATAGTAACCAAACTGGTGTCATGATGGTCATCGTTTAGGTCAAACATTGCAAAACCATACTGACATTCAGTCACCCAAGGTATCAAGAATCAATCGGAAGAGCAAAAATTCATATACACTATTCTTGTAGGAACTTAAGGCCTAAGAATTGTGAGTGATTTTGAAAGATTTAAAATTACTTTTGACATGTCCAAAATCACTCCAAAACACGTCCTTAACCATTCAAAATCAACATCAGTAAGTTCAAAAATGATTTTAAGTATTTCAAAATCACTCTCAAATACTTCCAACATATGTAACTACAAATCCATATTCTCACACCATTTAATGGTATCAGTTAAACAAATGGCGGCCATTAGAACTTGAATCATAAGAGCCATACAATAGAGTTCTCCCTATTCTTCTTCCTTGGGAATTATAACATGCTGACCAGCTTTTCTCAGTAACATCAAGGTTCTGATCTAGGTTTGACCACATAAATTGATACCAATAGGATCAAGTCTAAATAAATAACAAGAATAGTAACGTTTCAACTTCAAAAAAAAAAAAAAAAAAAAAACAAAAAAACAAAAAAACCGTGAAGAGAGGGAAATAAAGTACCTATACTCTGTTACTGAAACACTGTCCTTTTAAGTTAATGAAAGAATTAAACTCTATCCTCCTCAAAAGCAGGATTAGAACGACAAGGGAAGAAAGACGGACTTGGGTATGAACTGTTACCAGCCTTTATCTGCTGTGAAATGACGTATAACACCATCACCTACAGGTACATCACACAACGAAGTAATTTGCTCACTTGGTTGGAGGCGCATTGCTTCAGTGAAGAATGTGCCGCCGAATATCGTTTTGATCAACCGACTCCAATGGAGTGGCTGTCTCATTCCTGATCCGCTTTATTTTGGGGCTCAAGAGGCCCCTATGCCCAAATCCATACAGCTTCAGAACTTGATTGTCAGCAAAATTGAAAGCCCTCTCCATGCTGCTCAAACACCTTTCCACTGGATAGTCTCCATAGCTACCACAAGGCTTGCAGCCCACAAAATGCGTCACGAATGGCCACCTCTCGTCACCCAATCCAGGGTGGTACTTCTCAATCATTTCCTCATACCTATCCACTAATCCAGCCCAGTAACCATGCAAATAGTATGAATTCTCAAGAAACACCTTATCCATCCACTGATCTTTCTGAGAAAGCAATAAATATATCAAAGCTGACTGATCATCAGCTTCAAATGCTGGCCTTCCCTTCAAGTATGCCGTCAAAATCTTGCCCGCCTCTTCCCGAATAGGGCCCTTTGGTCCCATTGGAGCCCAAGCATCCAGCAAATCCAAAGACCACTGACAATTCCGAAACAAAAAGCTTCCTGTATTGAGTGCAATCCAGGACTTCTGGTTGAACATCAAATCAGGGTACCCGTGAACCACCAAATTATAGTTATCGTATTTGTCCAGAGGAATCTCGAACACCATATCAGTAAATAACGCATCACTGTCCATCCACCAAATCCACTCCACCTCAGGGTGTGACAGCATCAATCGCCGGATCAACGGCAACTTGGCCCAATACCCAGCAAGTTCCTTATCTAAATGAGCCAAATTGTATACTATTTCAATCCCATGAAGCCTGCAATAGTCAATCTTATTCTTGATTGCCTTCAACAAATAATGATCTCCAATTGCATTATCGCAGGGTTTTGGAGGCGAACCGGTAACAAGCAAGATCCTAGCTCTTTTATTAATATAATTGGGAAATTGTGGGTTCTGATCCAGCCAAACCTTTCTCTCCTGATTCCAGTTCGCAATCTTGGGACCGAGTGTGTAAGTGACATTAGGGTTGATTTCTGTCTCGGCAGGATCATCCGGGTCGTTGGGGTCTCTGTCAGATCGAATCTCGGCGAGGATCCGGTTGGTTTCTTCGATGATATTCTGGTTTACAGCGTCGGCCTCGGAGCTACCAAGGTTGCCGATGCCTATGGTGCCACGAAGAACAAGAATGGTGACGAAGCCACAGAGTATGGTAATCTTGATATTGTTGAAAGTCTTTTGGATCTGACGGCCACGGGGAATTCCGGGGAACGCACGGATTCTCCTGCCATTGGCGGTGGCAGCAGTGGTGGGCAAACCATTCCCTCCACTGCCGGTTCTCTTTTGAGCTGAGATATTGTCTAGCCCCATGTTTCTTCTTCCTTCTCTGACTACAAAAATTTTAACACTCGTATACAGAAAGATCTAAATCAATTGTTCTTGTTCCTATCTTGTTACCACGATGTGGAATTATGGGTTATGAGGGAAATGGCCTACTTCCCTCTATCCAATAGCTCTCTCCACCTCCCCCACCTTGAATTCAAGTATGTCAGCAAGATCGGCGATCGAAGAGATGGAACCCAAAATGGGAAGAAACAGGAAGATAAACAATCATGGAGAGATGAGGGGTAGGAGAAGAAGAGAGCAGTAATGGATAATGCCTAATGCCTAATGAGGGGTCGATTCACGGCGTTGATGGTTGAGGAACAGCTAAGAAGGAAAGAAGAGAGTTATCTCAGCAAACAGCACCGACTGTCTGTGGATTGAAGGGCCTTATTTTAATGATTCGATGTTTTAAGTTATTGGGAAAAAAAAAAAAAAAACACCGGATTTGATGTAAATTATCATATGCATTTGTCTAATTTGTGATTGCGTCCATTGCTTCATAATAATTATTGGGGTTTGTTTTTTTTAATTTAGGGAAAATCCTTACCGTGCCAGTATATACATATTTTGCGTATATTGTTTTAGAAAATATGGCTTTCATCCCTATTTTGTAAAAAAAAAATGTCCAATTAATTTTCACACTAATTAAGGTTTATCCCTAATTTATGGTTATTTCTCAACCAAAAAAATAAAAAAAAGAACTACTTAGCTTCTATAAACCTTCAACCTTCTATATATAAGTTATTAAGTTTTGGTATCGTATTCACATTTTACTTCTTTAAATAAAAATTAATATTAATTATAAAATATAAAAAAATAAATTTAAACATTTAAAAAGTATAAAAACAAAAATAAAATAGAGATTTTAAAATATAAGGATGAAAATGAAATATGTAATTGATATTTTTTTATATACATTTTTAATTTCTTCCTGAGGGCCCTCAACATTGATAAATATTCAATCTCTTGCCATAAATTGGAAATGACATGTCAGTTTTTAATTTTTATTTAATTTTTTTAAAACAAATATAAACTATTTTAGGCCTTAAGTAATTATAAAACAGATTTTTCAATGATCGTGTGAAGGACTTGCCATTTTTTTTTTTTCTTTTTGTTGTTAAATTTAGTAAGTTTGGCGGATTCTTACATATTTATTTAATGAGAGAATGGGTTTAGTAGAAAATTTTTGGGTTTAATTCGGTAAAACTAAAAGAAAATTGTTGTTTTTTTTTCTTTTTTTTGCTGCCAAATTCTATCACAAAAATTCGTCCTTGCGGCTTGCTTCAAGTTCTGTCAAATGGCCTGGCTTGTACATATCCTAAGACAATTGACACTAGTTCTGTCAATTGTTCAAGTTTTTTTTTTTTTTTTTGGAAACAATTGACACAATTCTAATTGCAAAATCCCTTTTAAAAAAATGATACTTGTCTATATATTTTTCTAAAAATAATTTTCTTTTTCAGCTCTCCCTAAAGTTTTTATTTAGATCTTTTATTTGTTTTGTTTTTAATATTGATGAACTGATTTTTGGTTTAAATCAAAAAGGTAAAAAGGAAAAAAAAACTAAGAATCAACCTCCTAACAAAAGTTTCATTGCTGGACTCAATCAAAAGATCTTGATTCTAATCTACTCGCCTCTATTGTTGCAACCAAAAAATTCAAATAAACTAACCAACTAACTAGAGATTAACATAATTCAAAATTATAGAGGCAGGGATTAACTAGACAAAATCACACAACCTAGCTATAGATCCAGCTCCACTAGTCCTAGAGACTCTACATTTACATATACGATAAAAAGATGATCAAAATGGAATAACTAACAGGATTTCCCCAAATCAGTAGAGATTTGAACGATTTAACGAGAAACATGCAATTAACTTATGGAGAATAAGTTACAAATGAAACAACTGACCTCTTGAAAATCGACAGCCTCAAGAACTTCAATTCCTGAATCCCTGAAATTGTAAATAATCTAGAAATGTATCATTATTTTATTTTCTCATGGAGCGATCCTCTATCAGACTTGAGATTCATAGCAATCAGTGAAGGAACACTTTGGCATTTCAATTTCAAAATCAAACGTTATGTCTAATAGCATGAAGAACACAAATAAAGAAAACTAAAGCACAAATTACCACTCGAATGTGAGCTACTTTCATGCTTGTTTCAGTTCATCAACGGAACTATACCTCTTAATTCCCTAAACTACAACATACAGGCCATAGAATAATAATCGAATTTCAGAAAAAAGTAATCGAAATTGCCGTTGTAGTGAGAATAGGGAAGTAGATAGGAAGAACAACAAGCTGATAAAATACGGCTAAGAGAAAAAGAAACAGAGAACATCGAGAACAGAGGCAGGGAGTACGTTTTGATGGTCGACACCATTGAGAACATCGGCACAGACGATTTCGATGGAAACTTATCGTTCATTCACGAAATATAACTTAAATAGCCTCGGCCAAAAAGGAGGAGATGATGACTTACCGGAAACAATCAGTTCCCCCGCCGCATAACAGTACGACTGAAGCAGTCACAGCGATCGAGAGAGCGCTTTGTAAAGAAGCAGTGAAAATGATCTACAAACGCGAGCGCAAGTGTAATAGAAATTATCGTACATATATAAATATATATGAGCGACAATGTCGGCAATCTCGGTAACGGACTGGGCTGGCGGCCCAACTGAACTCTCTTCTTTTCTTTTCTTTTTTTTTTTTAAAAAAAAAATTATTTATGGTAAATTAATAAAAAAATAATCATAAAACATACCATAAACTTTTAAATTTTTTAATAATCTTTTAAGAGTGTTATATTTTTTAAACAAAATAATAATGATTTCATTTCAGACAAAATATTTTTGAAAGTTATATTTTAAAAAAAAAATTAAAACATTAAATGTATTATTAAGTGTATATATATATATATATATTAGACAAAGGGCAAAGTTCGAAGAATCTCCCTCTTCTTCTTCCTCCTTGGGGAACTACCAGAACATGGAGACCAAGTTTTCCCAGTTATATCAAACTTTGAATGCACACCATTGATATCAATATGGGCAACTCTAAGAAGATCAAAGTAAGAACAACAGGAACTTCTTAAGTTAATGAAAGAATTCCACTCTATCCTTCTCAAAACCAGTATCAGAATGACAAGAAAATGAAGCAAGACAGACTTGGGTATGAACAATTACCACCCTTTGATCTATCTTCTTTGAATTCACGTATAATAATACCATCACCTACAACAGGTAAAATGTAAATCACACAAGGAAGAAGTTTGCTCACTTGGTTGGAGGAGCATTGTTCCGATGAAGAACGTGCCGCCGAATATCGTTCTGATCAACTGACTCCAATGGAGTGGCTGTCTCGTTCCTGATCCGCTTGATTTTGGGGCTCAAGAGGCCCCTATGCCCAAATCCATACAGCTTCAGAACTTGATTGTCAGCAAAATTGAAAGCCCTCTCCATGCTGCTCAAACACCTTTCCACTGGATAGTCTCCATAGCTACCACAAGGCTTGCAGCCCACAAAATGCGTCACGAATGGCCACCTCTCGTCGCCCAATCCAGGGTGATACTTCTCAATCATTTCCTCATACCTATCCACTAACCCAGCCCAGTAACCATGCAAATAGTATGAATTCTCAAGAAACACCTTATCCATCCACTGATCTTTCTGAGAAAGCAACAAGTATATCAGAGCTGACTGATCATCAGCTTCAAACGCCGGCCTTCCCTTCAAGTATGCAGTCAAAATCTTGCCGGCCTCTTCCCGGATAGGACCCTTTGGTCCCATTGGAGCCCAAGCATCCAGCAAATCCAAAGACCACTGGCAATTCCGAAACAAAAAGCTTCCTGTGTTGAGTGCAATCCAGGACTTCTGGTTGAACATCAAATCAGGGTACCCGTGAACCACCAAATTATAGTTATCATATTTGTCCAGAGGAATTTCGAACACCATATCAGTAAATAACGCATCACTGTCCATCCACCAAATCCACTCCACCTCAGGGTGTGACAGCATTAATCGCCGGATCAATGGCAACTTGGCCCAATACCCAGCAAGTTCCTTATCTAAATGAGCCAAATTGTATACTATTTCAATCCCATGAAGCCTGCAATAGTCAATCTTATTCTTGATTGCCTTCAACAAATAATGATCTCCAATTGCATTATCGCAGGGTTTTGGAGGCGAACCGGTAACAAGCAAGATCCTAGCTCTTTTATTAATATAATTGGGAAATTGTGGGTTCTGATCCAGCCAAACCTTTCTCTCCTGATTCCAGTTCGCAATCTTGGGACCGAGTGTGTAAGTGACATTAGGGTTGATTTCTGTCTCGGCAGGATCATCCGGGTCGTTGGGGTCACTGTCAGATCGAATCTCGGCGAGGATCCGGTTGGTTTCTTCGATGATATTCTGGTTTACAGCGTCGGCCTCGGAGCTACCAAGGTTGCCGATGCCTATGGTGCCACGAAGAACAAGAATGGTGACGAAGCCACAGAGTATGGTAATCTTTATATTGTTGAAAGTCTTCTGGATCTGACGGCCACGAGGAATTCCGGGGATAGTACGGCTTCTTCTGCCGTTGACGGTGGTAGCAGTGGTGGGCAAACTATTCCCTCCATTGCCAGCTCTCTTCTGAGCCGGTATATTGTCTAGTCCCATGTCTCTACTTGTTCTCTCTATCCAGTAATCAGGATTTGGAGCTATGGGTTATGAGATAAACAGCCTATTTCCCTGGATACAGCAGCTCTCTCCACCTTCAATTCAGCTAGGTGACCAGGATAAGAAATCGAAGAGATGGAGCAGAACAAAGGAGGATCCGGGTAGGCGAAGAATATAGCAGTAATGGGTAATGGTCAATTCATGGTGGAGATAGTTGAGGAACAGCTAAGAAAGGAAGAAGAGGAGAAAGCGAAGGAGAAGGAGAAGGTGAGAGGCGTCTCAGCAATACCACCGACTGTGGAATTGAAGTATTGATGGATTTTCTTCGAATGATTCGAAGTACAATTCTTCCGACGCGTGATTGGATCCATTGTTTTCTTAATTTTTATAACACAAATTCCTCCTTCCTACCTCCTTCCTCCCTCCTTTCTGTCAAATGGCGATTGTGCATATTAGTTGGACACCACCCTCAAATTTTTATTTAGGTCTTTTCTAAATCGACCCTCCACAAGTACACACCTAAACTAGTAGATATTGTCTCCTTTCAAAATATATTAACCCTAAACCTTTCCTCAAAAAATTTTAAAATATATTAATTAGAGAGAAGTTTTCTCACCCTTGTAATGAGTGATTAATTCTCATCTCCAACTGACGTGTGATCTCACAATCCACATCTTTAGAAGCTAACATCCTCGCTAGCACACCACCCAATATTTGTCTCTAATACCATCTGTAATAGTTCAAGCCCCATAGCAAATATTGTCCTATTTTGTCTTTTCCTTCTAGGCTTTCACTCAAGATTTTAAAACATGTTTTCTAGGAAGAGATTTTCACACCCATATAAGAAATGTTTTGTATTGTTCTAAGGTAAAAATGATAGATTTGGAAGGTTTGGTATTAAAAATGGAATATGTGAAGATTTTAAGGGAGAAAAGTTTGAATATAAAGCATATTACATTTCAGCACATTATGCATAGATATATCTCATGGAATCAATAAATTACTATAGAAATCTTGAATAAGAAGGCCTATAGAATGATTTGAATTCAAGACAGATTCTTACTTTTCTTTCCCCTTGCCTTTGATTTGTCAGTTGCAGCTTTGTTCTGCTTCTCAGCTCTATTGCATTCTTCAAGATTTTGATTGTCAATCTTTCTTGTTGGCTTGAAAACCTTGGTGATTGAAGGATCCAAAACATCACTTGAGCAGCGAAGCGTGATGCCCATAGCCATGGCCTCCCCCCACAGTTGCCTCCCCATTTCAAAATCACCTCCACTGCAGAGCTTCGGTATAAGCACATCATAAACTGGACCATAACCCCCCAATGAGCTTCTCTTCATCTTCTCAAACAGCTCAAGTGCATACTTTTCTCTCTCAACGCCACACAGAATACCAATCAAATCATAGTAGAATTTTCGATCCGGGATCAGCCCCTCCTCAATCATCTCCTCCACAATTCTGCACCCTTTCCCAAATCTTCCAGACAGGAACAGCACTCTCGCCACGAGATAGTAGCTTATGCAATCGGGTCGACAACCGGTTCGCTTCATTGTCTCGAGGATTCTACATGATTCCTTCACTCTCCTGGCTCTGCCCAGACATGACAGTAGTATGTTATAACTGATTGAATTGGGAGCAATGCTGTAGGATCTCATTTCCATCATCACATTCAAGGCTTCAGGCACGAGACCTGAAGGATTTTTCTTAAGATTCTGCTCGCAAAGGCACCTGAGGAAAGTGTTGTAGCTGAACAAATCTGGCATGGTTCCATCTGACTTCATTTCTTTCAGTATCCTTCTTGCTTCTTTAGTGTTCTTCTGAATGGACCATCCATATAGAAGGCTTCTATAGATGCAACTCATTGTGCCAGAGATCTTGTCCTTGTGATGCAGGACTACCCCTTCTGCTCTTTTAGCATGCCCTTTTGCACAGAGAGCAGTGATAATAGCAGTGACAGTGAATTGGTCGTGTGGGCATTTGTACTTGTCCAAGTTCTTGAACAGACCTAGGGCTTCATCTTCTCTATCCATTTTGACTAAAGCCTCAGCCACAAGACCGAAGGTCTGGCCATCCATTGCGCGGCGAGCTTTCTTGAGATCAGAAAGTAAAATATCAATGGCAGTGTAATCCTTCTTCTGGGCAAATAAGCGGATGGCATAATTGAAATCTTCATCTTCCAAATGGTGGTTTAATTTCTTGAGAGACCACGAGAAAAACCTAAGCAATCTTCTATTGGGAGCTTCATTTTTGCAAGAATCAATAACCTGGGTAACGAGTGAAGATGTCAAGGAAACTGTGCACTTGTTCAGAGTGGCTTCCAATTCATCTAACCCTCCGATCGTGCATGAAACCACTTCACACAGTTTTGACACAGAAGCTCCATTTTTGACGGTGGAATGAAGGGAACAAAAGCGATGCTGCGTACAGACGGATTGCACAAAGAAGCTATCCCATTTTAACTTCAACAATGAGACGCATCGTCTCAGCGACATTTCATCGAACATATGGCGTGCGTGCATTGCAATGTACAGAGGAAACATTACTCAAAGGAAAGGCAATTTCATTTCTCTGATATTGCTCCAGCCTCCCTGCTATCTTGCTTTCATAGCTGACCAATCTGACCATAAACCGCGTAACTTCTCGTAGTCGGTGTTCAGGGGATCAACTTACCTCAATTTCTTCGATCTTCGCTACCATAAACCGAAGTCATTTAAATGTAAATGAGTCCCCAGATCGAACGATGAAACTTGAGTATTTTGATTTGGATTTCGAATGCATTCTCTGAGATAAATTTGTTGGGCTACTTCATTAATTTGGATTGGAAGCTGTTCCGATACTTACAAGCCATGAAACTCAGGGTGGCAGGGGCCATTCGAAGTCTAACTTGTTCTTTAGTAAAGTGGTCGAAGGCATTCTGCCCCAAGACCAGGGTTCGAATCCTACAACCGTAACCTTTTCTTTTAATTTTTTTTTTTTAAAGAAATTGCCAGATTGATCCCTAAAATAGAGAGATTTTTTTCTAAAGATATAATAATAATCAAATAATTAAAGAAACAAGCATTTCATACAATCAAACAAAGCAGACAAAGGGAAAAGGATGTTTTTTTTCCCTTCTTTTTCTTAAAATAAAGAAAGGGGATTTATTGACAATTTGAATGTTAGTCAGTGAACTAAGTATAATAACGAAATCAGAGCTAGTTCAATAATGGGACAACTTGATCTCCCATTTCTAGGAATGGATGATCAATTTTTTTGCTACCAATCTAATGCCTGCACTCTGTTGATAGTCATATGTATCCAAGGAAATGAATGCATCTATGATGCCTCCTGGATTGATCAGGCTATCAAGCTCTACAGCGTCGAATTTACTGAATATCAGCCTTTGTGCACCGCCTGATGCTTCTTTTTGATACATCTCTGTAGCGTAAATCGCCATGTCTCCACATACTGCAGTTGGAATGCTGTGAAAGAACAAATTTAATTCCATTACAAACTCATCAAGAAGAGGAAATTTATGAACTTACAGAGCAGATGACTCGATTCAAATGGCAAGAAAAAATTGAAGCAAGAAAGCATGCAGATCATATGTTGGACTAAACTTCCTCTGGTTTGTTTTTTTTTTCTGTTCCTTTTCCCTCATTTCATAGTTGAAATCTTTCATCAAAATGTTTGTAGATAGATATATATAGTCAGTTTGCATGTCAAGCGATCAGGTGGAAGTATTACTTACTGTAATCTCATTGTCGGGTAGTTGAAATAGCCATTCTTTCTCATCACCACAGGCCTCCACTCAGAACCACTGCCAGATTCGGAGAATAATCTCTGAGCCACGCCATCAGATGCTTCAAGAACCCTGCATAAACTTGGTGGTACATCGACCACAAAATTCAACCTTGGACGGCCAGCATAATCAGTGAATTTTGTGCTTATGCCAAATCGAACTCTCAGATTATTACAAAGAAGCTGTAAGCAGTCGTCTTTGTGTGATAATTGTATTCTTTGGCTCCCACGAAAAAATGGCACGAAAGATGCAGTGATGGACGAAACAGACACCTGATCAGGCTCCAAAAATTCAGTAGCAGCACTAAGACTTGTGGAAGTATTCTCTGTGGGAGATGCTTCAGTGGATACCGGGGCATGTTCTTCTTCCATGCTGGTATCTGTTTCAAGCGATTCACCTGCTATTTGGTCACTGAGAGTGCCCATGTTAAAAGAATCTGATTCAGTAGCATCAGAGTCAGCCACCAGATTCGAGGCTCCATCCTCAGAGCTGCAAGTTACAAGGGATAATATCGGATGAGCTTCCCCTTGTTGATCTGTTAGAGATATGGGGCTACCACCAATCCTTGAACTTGACGAACGAGTATTACTATTTGCATTAATCCCCCGTGGGGATGATTTTGCAGCACTATTATTTTCATTAATCCCCTGTGGGGATGATTTTGCAGCACGACGCCTAGTAACAGCATTTGGAGAAACCCAACTGTTCTCTGGGAAAACTTCGGGAAGACTTGATTCCTGTAACCAGGCAACAGTTTTAATCTAACCCACCATACTTTTCTAACATAAAGTGGTCATTATAAGAGCGCTAATACAACTATGCTGATGTCAGATTAAGTGAACTTTAAAAAGAAAACGAAAGAAAAAAGCTACTACAAGAATGTATCCACATGGAAGGTAAGCAAAATGGAGATTTAAGTATTGTCAATTGATACAAAAACTTGCAATGAAGCAATTGGAACCTATTGATGATCTAAATTAAAAAAGAAATGCATAACTACCAAGGGCATAGATCCAAGTGGTCAATATTCAGATACTGCAACAAAAATTCTTACCAGAAACAAGACAGTTGCACAATACTTCAGAACTTCGAGATTCATCCTAACATCATCCAAACTCCTGGAGAATAACACAGACAAAGTCAGATACAAAGAAAGCGTTCCTTTGATTTATGTTCAATATTGCTAGCAAGTTTGAAGAGTTGCCTGTGTGTTTGTTGTCCTATCCCAAAATAGGAAGCAAGAGTAGCCATCTACAGGGAGAAAAGGGACGTCGAAATCAAATAAATAAAAAGTTACCATAGCTTCTACAAATCAGAACATGCATGAAGATTCATTATATAAAGCAAGGCCGTGGGATTGAATTCAATAGAGGAGCTCAGTGCAAGGATCTGATGGGAAATATCATAGCAATAAGCCTATTCTCACCACTTTATGCATAATTTTTAGAATTCGAATCTCTCATTATTACAGTTCCTCCCAAAAAAGAGGTTTTTCCAACCCTTCGTTGGCATAAAATTTACCGGTGATATATTAAATTGGCACATATCCTAGTGCCAAATGTTAACTTGGTTTAAGTCTCATATTTAGAGAGGTAAACCCCAAAAATTCAATTATTTCTACAATTTCCTGCTTAAGTTCCAAATGTTGAAATCTCTAAACAATTTTGCCGGAGGCACCATCCAATGGATACTGGTGTACAGGTTTCTCGGGATCCCCTGAAGTTTGCACGAACACAAGTAGAAACATAGCAAACATGCAACAGAGAAAGAATTCTGTTACCTTCATGTCGCCAGCTCTCCTTCCAAACTTTTGAGTTAACAATGCCAATGAATCAATTGTACCTTTCGGCTGTGGTGCTGGCATCCCAATTTCTGCAAAAGCCTCCCTTATGCGAGCACAATCAAATCTCAGTATGTTATGGCCAGCCCATATCCGCCCTGTTGGATGATGAAAGTCCCACATCGGTTAATTTAGGGAATGGTCATGGGTTTATAATCTAAGAATAAACTCTCCATTGGGATGAGGCCTTTTGGGAAGCCCAAAGCAAAGCCATGAGAGCTTATACTCAAAGTGGACAATATCATACCATTGTGGAGAGTCGTGTTCGTCTAACATGGTATCAGAGCCATGCCCTAAACTTAGCCGTGTCAATAGATTGGCAAATCCTTAAATGTCGAACAAAGGACTCCAAAAGGAGTCAAGCCTCTTCGAAGGTACGAAGGCAGTAAAAAATGACTAAGACTCCAAAGGAGTCGAGCCTCGATTAAGGGGAGGCGTGCTTTGTTCGAGGGGAGGTGTTGGATGATGAAAGTCCCACATCGGTTAATTTAGGGAATGGTCATGGGTTTGAATAAACTCTCCATTGGGATGAGGCCTTTTGGGAAGCCCAAAGCAAAGCCATGAGAGCTTATACTCAAAAGTGGACAATATCATACCATTGTGGAGAGTCGTGTTCGTCTAACACGCCCTACAGAACAGTATCGCAGCAGAAAGCTCAAACGCAGCCATATAATAAAATTAAAATAGAAGACGCATGGACCATTCAGAAAGGTAATCTAATTGAGATAAAACATTTTGCATCTTGGTTTCAATTGGCGGGCAGTAGAGAATAATTAGAGAGTACCGTGAAGGATATCGTAAACCCTATCAGCAATTTGGGCGAAAGTAGGAGCAGAAATGACGGCATCTCTAGTAATTCCATTGCATCGCACAGATAAGGAGGAAATGAGGGAGAGATCAGAGGGTCGAACGAGAGTGGAATAGCTCTCCAACTCATCCAGCTTCCTAGGGCACACCAGAATGGCTCCAAACTCCAAAATGGAAAATCTCTGCCCTTGGCGGGTCGGAACGGTGGTCTCCACATCAAAGAAGGCAATCTCGGATCGGTCCCCCGTCGGACCCATGATTGAACAGAGGGAATTTTGAATCAAGAGAAGAGAAGTAGATTGTTGTTGAGATTGAAAAGTGGAAGGCGCGAAGAGGTGAAGTAATTATAAGGATAAGGACCGCCGTGGGTTTGGAGGTTGCTTCGTGGAGTGAACTTTCAACGATCGGCATCATCGGGCTGATTCTGAAGCCCATTTCAAATAACCCAACCACTCCCATGGGAAGGAGCTGAATTTTTTTAAAAATAATATTGAGTTTGATGGAACAGGGTACGGCAGGTATCTGATCCCAAGGATGGGAGTGGAAGACTGAGTAAGCCATCTCCTGGAAGACAAGTTATGTGCAAATGCAAATCCTAAACTACCAACCCCTAACTTCCTCCTCATTCCCAAGTTTTCCCTCTCCATTTTTATTTATTTATTTTCAACTTTCATTTCTACTGAAATTTGAAAAATAAAATAAGAACTACAACTCAATCACGGGTCAACGAGAGAGTGAAGTGCATGGGCTAAGTGAGTAGGAATGCAACTCAGTGGACCACTTGCCGAGCTTGATAGATGGTGGTATCACACTTTTCTCAAATGAATTGTAGGTGTCACTCTTGTCTCATACAACTTTGTTCCGATGTCATGATCTCTCTTTTTCTTTTTACTAAGACGTGTGATCATATGAAATTAGAAAGTTTAGGCGATTAATTTCTTAATTTTAATTGGATAATGAAAACAACTTTTTTATTGTATTTTTGGTGCTCCATAATTATAACATTTTAGAGTGGAAAAGGCTTCGAAAAAAGTAAAGGATAAGATTGTCTTTTTCCTTTTTAAATATGGAGCATACATTTAGATCACTCAGCTTGTTTTTATATTATAATTAAACTAAATTAATATATTCATTCCGTCACAAACAACTCTATTTAATTAACTATATTTATGTTTTCCATTTACATATAAAATAAACTCTATTTAAATGGTAATTTATTTTCAACTGAAATAAAAAAGTGAAATGTTGGATTTGTTTTACTTTTTCAATAATAATCATCCAATATTTGGAGAGAGAAGAAATTATCACAAATTGATAACATTTTTGTAAAATTAAAATAATTTTAAGTATTTCAAATCAAAATCAATTTAATGTCATATATTTTATAATAAAATTCTAACAATTATGAACTAACTTGTTTTTAGGGAAAAAAACACTTAAATAATAAATCTTATAAGACAAACATGTTTATCTAAAAGTATTAGACATATGTATTTTCAAACATCCACATTTCAAACTTACGAACATAAATATGCTTCACGGCTATTATTTATTATTATTTGGGAGAATCACAGCTTCATTGAAATGGAAAATTTTCCTTTTCCTAAGAAATTATTATTAGAACTAGTTATTTATGACATAAAGTATAGATGTATAAATAAATCGAGATCACAATTAAATTAAAAATATAAAATTATAATTATTTTTTTTTTTTAATTATTAGTAGTTAAAGCTAGGAGCATGACTCTTGAAGTATATTAAGAGGATAACCACTCTGTACGTAAAGAGTGTTCGAGTGTTCGAGTGTTCGAGTAAGGAGCATAATGATATTGTCCAGTTTGGGACGGGCGACTGGTGAAGAGGGTTCGAGTTGGAATGATATGGGAAGAAAAAATGCAAAAAAGAAAACAGTGTTTTTTTTATTAAAAGAAGAATTGTAAAGAGGGTTCGAGTATGGACGGGGCGACTTTCTTCGGAAAAAGACAGCTGGAATGTGGGAGCCACATAAAAACGCGGTGACGTGGCTGGTTACAGCCGACGGGAAGAAAAACGACGTATTTTGACGGCATGGTGGTGACGGCAGCAACGACCTGAACCTTCCTCCTCCAATTGGAGATGGGCGGGTAAAAGGAAAGTGGGCCCCGCTGATTGCGTGTCCACACGACGAAGGGGCGTAATTGTAAATGGCCAAACTCCGTCAGATATCCAGGAGTGGTGGTGGACCCCACCTCCAATTCCTGGATGACGCTCCGCCGTTGGCGGTTTCGTTTTGCTTTATGCATGGGCGGAGTCGGAGTCGGAGTCGGAGTCGGAGTCGGAGTGGATGCATGAATTCGGACACGGCTGCGCCTTTAGAAATTGACAGAATACTCCCTACACTTTCTAAAAATCATAATAATAATAATAATAATAATTTATTAAGACTATTTTTAGTTTGTTTCATGAATCTTTTTGTTCCTGAAAAATATATTAATTTGTTATTTTTTTAATTTTAATATAAGAATTAAATCATAGAAATTCTCTAATTTGGTGAATGAGGTCGAGACAGGAATCCGAAATGGGAAATTTTGAATCTGAATTATAATTCTTCAAAATGGGAAATAGAGGCAATAATGGGAGATGGAGCCTGCATTTCTATATTTACACGTCTCATTCTTTATTTATAATATTAAACTAAATAATTAAAAATTAATATAAAAACAAAAAACAGATTAGTTATCCACCGACTCAAATCTTTATTCATTTTCCCAAATATCCTCAAATCATAAATTCAACATAAAACCAACCCCACCTTCTAATTTAATTTTCATTCACCATACAACAATAATAATACTAATAATAATAATAATATGCTTAATTTTCATACATTTATTTTGGTTTCTAATCATCTAGACAAGCACCCACATTCTCGAACTAATCAAAATCCCAAAATTCCCATTTATTAGTTTTTTTTTAATACTTCATCTTCAACCTCTCGTTCGTTTTCAGTAATTCCAGAAGTCGTCGAGGTCGATCGGCGCCATAGGAGCCGGCGGAGCTTCTTGAGAATTGTCTAATGGTCTGCGACCCATTTCATGATTCGGAAGAATCGATGATATTTCGTTGTTGACATCGGTGGTGAGGCACGTTTCTTGAGAGATACTGATTTTGTCCGTCTCTGGTTTGAATGATTCTCTTATGTTTCCGCCACTGACGTTCTGAATCAAAGCTCTGAGAAGTGACTGTTGCTCTTGCAAAAGAAGGGCGCTTGGGAATTGTAGATTTGGAGTCTGATTTGGCGGTGGAAACACTGAATTTGAATGTGGGTTTCTAGGAAACGAGTTGATTGAATTGGGAATAACAGAGAAAACAGAGGAATTGTAAGAAGAAGCCATTGGTTGGAGTTTTCTATGAGAATCCATGGCGATGGAGAAGCAGGGCACGTTATTAGGCAATTGAACAGCGCATTTAGTTTCTCCATCAAATGAAAATGAATCCGTTAATGGAGGAAGAATCGAGTGGCCAAACTCGTTCCCGGAGATGTCTACCTTTTTCCCAGTGGAGTTCTTCTCAAACACCCTACAAATCACCCACTCATTCTGCAGAGAAAACAGAGTAAACGATGAGATAAACTAAAAACAGAGGAAGAAACAGAGAGTTGTGAGGATGGAATTCATACCCTGGCAGCTTTGGGGAGGTTTAAAGCAGAGAGTTTACCCTCTAAACGATATTCATGCATAACCCAATTAGATTTCTCCCCTTTTGGAGCTCTTCCACGGTAAAAAACCAGAGTTTTCTTCATACCCACAAGAGATTTTCCTCTGTAAATGTCTTTATCTTTCCCTGTAGCTTTCCAGTAGCCAGCTTCAGTTGCTCTGTTTGTCCTCAATCCAGTAGGGTATTTTCTATCTCTCACACAGAAAAAATACCATTCTTTTTCTCCCATTTTCGCCTTCCCTGAAAACCCCAAATCATCAGAATCAAAAAGAACAAAGGAGAAAGAGTTGATAAAGAGAGATTATTACAAGGCAAATCCCAAGGCTCGGACTTGTTGAGATCAACATCTCCAATCGCCCTGCAAGAGAAGCTGCAATCCATGACCTTATGGAAGAGGTAATGAGAAATAAGCTCTTCATCAGTGGGATGAAACCGAAAGCCAGGCGGCAATTCCAAATGATCTTCTTGGTTAAGAACACCACCACCAGGAGCAGCAGCAGCAGCCATGTTAGAAGGCTTAGAAGTGTTCATTTCTGTCCAAGCTGCAGAGGTTTGAAGGTTTAAAAGGAGTTGAGTAAGAGAAAAACAAAACGCAAGAAGAGAAGAAGGGAGGGAGAAAGAAACGGTTAAGAAAAAGGTGTGGAAAAAGGTAGGGAGGGAAAGGATGGATATTGTGTCATGGCAAGCCAAAAAGGCAGAGTATGAAACAGAATGAGGCCTAAATAGTGGGTTTTTATGAGCAACACAAACGTGGTCTCTAAGCCAAACGCAGCTCCCTCGCCAGGTTTGTTAGTTTCAAGCCTTTTCATTTTCCTTCTCCATTCATCTCATCATCATTCACCAATTTCACTAACAAAATTAAATAAATAAATAAATAAATAAATAATACAACTCACTTCTTATTATTAATTTTATTCTTTTCCCCCCTAGTGACAGCTCATCTCTCACAAGGACATTTCAGTCATTTCCCAATCTCATAATTTTCTTTTTTCTCTATTTAATCACCTCAAGTTGACCTCGTTATTAGATTAGACAATAAAAATAAACAAATAAATAAAAAGATTTTGAATGGATGAAGTTAAATTTTAGAATGGTCACCCACTTTAAATATTAAAGTCAAATTACAAATGTGATCCCAATAATTTGGAGATAATTATTTCGTATTAAACTAAATAAATTTTACGAATTAACAAAATAAATAATTTATATATATTACTATCAACATTAAATAAAAAATTTATTAATATTAAAAGTTTTAATAAATAAAATCGAGTTGAATTAAGGAGAGAAAGGAAGATGCTTTTGAATGATGTATAGCATAGGCGGCCCCTAGGCTAATAGGTAGGATGAAGTATAGCCAATTGAAAATCAAGCTTAATTCCTCCCGATGAAAACAAAACTATATGGTAAATGAATTTGTATGACATATAATAAGTCACAAAATTATTTATTCAAACTATATACCTATATTTTTTTTTTTTTAATTATTCCTGGGACCATACTATAATCTTCCATCAAACCTAGTTTGTTTTACTAAAATAAAAAATTAGTATAAAATAAATATTGTTTCCTTTAATTATTGGACCTCATACCATAAATCATTTTCTTATTTTATTATAATATTCAGATTTCAAATACCATATATTAATTTTGTTTTAAAAAATAACGAATATTAAGACCTCTCTACTGAATGAAAATTTATTATTTGAATTTAATATTTTACAAAAGTTGAAATATTATGCAATGGTTCAAACATTTTGATTGTATTAAAATTTAAATGAAACAAAAAGATAAAAATTGAGAGAGGATAAGAGATTGTCAATCAAATCTCGTGCGCACGAGTGGTCAAAGTCTCCATCTTCCACGTTCAACCGTTGACCAGTCTACTTTTCTGCCCAATCAGAACGCTTCGAACCGACAGCCACATCACTACGTGGCACTGCCACCTTCCATAATTTTCTTTTTTACTTTTTAATATTTTAAATATTAGAGTTTAGGTTTTCTTAATATTAATTTCCGTCTTTTAATATGTATTAACATAGAATTTTAGACGTTTATTATTATTATTATTATTATTTTACTAAAATTAATACTTAAAGTGGATTTTAAAATATGTCTCATCTTTTAAATAGACGAGTAATATCTTAATTAATTGAACTATGTTTTTCGTGTAAGATTTTTATTAAAATTGATATAAATGATTTTAAAAAAATATAATATTTTTTGCTTAGAAGAAATGTAATGGGTAGCGTATGATCCATTTTCTAACCTTTAAAATTATAATTCGATGTATTGATTAGTTTATTTCAAATAATATATGCGTCGTTATCAAATCTAAAGAAATTGTTTGGTATACTTTTGTTTCATTATTCATCCAATACTTGGAGTGTTATTATGGTGGAGAAAAGGCAACACCCACCTCCACGTGTCTCTTCCTTAGAAGCCAACTAGTCACATGACTTATAACTATGAGGTATAGTCATGATTTCATACATATTCGTATTCATACAACAAGAATAGTAAAAGCCCATCTAACATAAAAACATGTAGAGAAGGTTTAGAATAGACATGTATGACTGAGGCATCCGACATGCAGCCGTAAACAACACGTCTTAGAGAAGCATGACCATAACATTGAGCAGGACAACACAAAATCTATATTCAAGATCTTTGATTTGAATGTTAGTAAGGGTCACGTGTTAGAATTACATATTTGTAATATTTTTATGTACGAACAAGGATTAAATTATGTTTAATTCTAATAAACGATTCTCAAGTATGTTTTGGTCTGATTAAAGAAATATTATTTCGTTGTCAGTTGAGGTTATCAAATTGAATTGAGACAGAGGAATTGGAGTAGGCATATCATATTAGCAAAAGAAAACAATGATTAATATTATAAACAAAGTTAGGGTGGGGCATGTTTGATGGATTTCAAGCATGCAAACTTGGAAGGGAACAAGCATATGGCAGAATATGATTGGGTAAAATAAAGCTTACAAAAAAGAATGGGAATATTAAAATTAGGCAATAGTCGGCTTTCTTTGAAGCATATATATTATATATTAATTAACATTATCTCATATTATTTTGTTTCAAACGTTGCCTAACTTGGGATGTTATTTCTTTGATAACACCACAATTATTCTGCTTTACATACAAAGTTTGAACTTCTGGTATTTAATTCTCTTCCTAACCATGTCTCTCGTAGCATTTCTTACAAGCATGTAGTTTGGTTGGCCCTCAAGAAAATGTATTGTAAGATCTCACATCATTTGAGAGTGAATAAAGTATTCCTTGTAAGGGGTGGAAACCTCTATCTAGCAAACATGCTTTAAAATCGTGATGTTGATGACAATACATAATGAGTCAAAAGACAATATCTATTAGCTTCAACTTCGAGAGTTCAAGAGATTAACGAAGAGGGATTTAGCAAAATATCATTGGGTACTAATATGATATATGGATAAGAATAATAATATGTATGAAAGATTGCAACTTTATGGGCTATATTCATTTGGGTTTGTGTAAGATGGTTTGAGAATTCCATGCCAAAAGCAAAGAGAAGATGGGTTGTAATGGATTGGTAAGATGGTCAATTTTGTTCAACATTTTGGGCTAAACGAGTGTGTCTACCCAACATGGTAATAAAAACTGAGCCGAAGAAAAGAGGACCATAAACTTCTGCGCTGACACGCCGGGATTTTGCAAGCCTTTGATTGAGCTTGCAGATCGAACACAATTGTTATGATCGTTCTCAACGGTGGAAAATCCAACTTGGCACTCTCTCTGTGCTCCCGAGTTGAGATCAAATTTCCACATTTTCAATTGCTCCTCCCCAAGTACATTTGGAGTTCAGATCCAAAAACACCCACTGATACAATACCCAATGGTAGCTATTTTTCCAAGGAACAAAGATTTCTGTCTCTTTTCAAGCAATGCTCCGCCGTGAAAGACTTGAATCAACTCCATGCCCGTACTATCCAGTCGGGTTTCGATCAGAATCTCTTCGTTCTTGGCAAACTCATTGAGTTTTGTGCGGTTTCGGCCCATGGCGACATGAATTACGCTGTTGCTGTTTTCAACCGAATCGAAAATCCAGATGGGTTTCTTTGGAACACAATGATAAGGGGATTTGGAAGAATTAGTAATCTGCCTAAGGCGTTTGAGTTCTACAAGCGAATGCTAGAGAAGGGAATCGCGGCAGACAATTTCACTTTTTCTTTCTTGCTAAAGATTTCTGGGCAGTTGGGGTCAATTATGTTGGCCAAGCAGTTACATGCCAATATTCTGAAACTTGGCCTCGATTCCCATGTGTATGTTAGGAACACGCTTATTCATATGTATGGCAGGTTAAAAGACGTCAAACTAGCACGCAACCTGTTTGATGAAATGCCCAAACCAGGTTTGGTAGCTTGGAATACAGTAATCGACTGTCATGTCTCTTGTGGGATGTACAACGAAGCACTTGCCTTGTTTCTTCAAATGTTGCAGAGTGGCGTAGAGCCTGACGAAGCCACACTGGTTGTGACGGTCTCAGCATGTTCTGCACTGGGTGCACTGGACTTTGGGAGGTGGGTTCATTCCCATGTGAAGCATAACGATAGAGGAAAGACTATTGCCGTTTTCAATTCATTGATCGACATGTACGCCAAGTGTGGAGCAGTTGAAGACGCCCGCGAGATGTTTAATGCAACAAGTGGCAAGAACATAGTAACATGGAACACAATGATCATGGGATTAGCTACACACGGCGATGTAGAGGATGCACTGACATTATTCTCAAACATGTTAGCAGAGAAGATTGTGACTCCTGATGGCGTGACATTCTTGGGAGTATTATGTGCTTGTAACCATGGAGGAAAGGTGGAGGAAGGGAGGAGATATTTTGATCTAATGACCAAACACTGCGATATCCAACCCACAGTTAAGCACTATGGATCAATGGTGGACATTCTGGGACGAGCTGGGTTTGTAGAAGAAGCTTATCAGCTGATACGGAGTATGCCAATGGAGTGTAATGCTGTAATATGGAGAACATTACTTGCAGCCTGTCGGATGCATGGAAATGTTAAGCTCGGGGAGAGAGTGAGGAGCCATGTTCTTGAGATAGAGCCAGATCATAGCAGTGATTATGTTCTTCTTGCAAATATATATGCAAGCTCTGGTCAATGGAATGAAATGATGAAGGTCAGAAAATCAATGCAACGAAAAGGAGTGCAGAAACCAGAGCCTGGTAATAGTTTTTTGGAGATTAATCCATGCAGGAAGTTGGAGATGGACACTGTCGAGAATTATAACAATGCTGAAAGAAACGAAAGTTATATCTGAGTTTGCAGTGTGCATACGTTTGGAGTTCTTCTTTAACATGTAAGTCATCGCACCTGTGTCTTCTTCATTCATTTTATGTACTCTGTTACATTACACACCATAGTAGAATGGAAAATCAAGGTTGAAAAGCAAAACATGATATTGTTGAGGATGGTTGGGGGAGTCCCACGTTGACTAATTAAAGAGATATCATGAATTTATAAGTAAGGAATACATCTCCACTGGTATGAGGCCTCTTGGAAAACCAAAGACCAAAGTCATGAAAGCCCATGTTCAAAGTGGACAATATCATACCGTTGAAGGTTCGTAATTCCTAACATGGTATCAGAGGCTATGCCCTTAACTTAATCGTGTCAATAAAATCCTCAAATATCGAACAAATAATGTACTTTGTTTGAGGGCTTCAGAGAAAGGGAGTCTCACATCGACTAATTAAGGGGATGATCATGGACAATATCATACCATGGTAGAGATTCCTAACAAATATTAACAAATATTAACAAAAAGATTTCAAAATGTTCAACTGAAGTAGTTTTCTCTTCGTACTACTTCTACAAAGGGAGATCCTAGGCAAGAGTTGTCTTGAAATTTAGGCAATTCAACCTATGACAGCTTTTCCTTCTTTTTTTTCCACTCTTTGATATCTGCTTTTCTCTTCGCTTGCACACTCGCACTAAATCCTGGGCATGGTTCATATTTGAATAAACTTTGAAGAACCTGAAACCAAACATCAGAAACAACAAAGTTGCTTCAATATCAACACCGACAAGTAACCAGAGAACTGAGAAGAAATACCTCCAAAAATACAAAGAATGGAGCCATTAGAAAGACTTGGGCAAGATTGTCTAACAAAGCCGGTGCTCGTTTCTATCAGAAAGATGAAATTAAATGGCTTAAGAATCATGAAGAGATTCATCAATTCACTGAGATGAAGTAACCTGTCTAACCTCAAATACTCCATGGCCTATAAACTGATTGGTCCAACAGAACAACTGAACACATCTACCAAACTCCAACTAGATTATATCAGATTGAGCTGTTTTCCAACGCTTGCCACCAATCCCATTTAAAACCCGTCAAATGAAATTCAATTCACTCAACAAGAGGATTAGAGATCGAAATGGGTAAGCTATAGGAAATAGATTAATTTTCTGCAAAAACCAAGGACCCATAAATTAAATTGGAGAGAAAGCGGGGAATTACCTTCCAGGTCTGAGAATAACCAAGTCTAAAGTCGAGTATGGTTGCTCCAACCCAACAAATCAAGCAAAGCAAAGCGGCCATGGACCCCGCTTTCTTATCGAAGACCACATAAGATGCAGCATATATTAAGGTGAAAAGAAATCCGAAGTTGAAGGCCAGGCCGTGGTCAAACCCACAAGGGGATTTGGGAATAGTGTAGAAAGATGGGGTGAAGTACAAATACTGAGGGTGGTAAAGAAAATTGGCCACACAAACAGAACATGAATGAAAATGTTGACTGGGTTGCTGTGATAAGCGCCATAGAAGGCGAAATGCCTCTCCAGATCAAACAAACCAGTCTTCCCCACAATTAAATTTTCCGGAAAAATAGACAAATGACCCCAACACGAAACGAAACGATTGCTAGAAAAGGTTCTCAGAAGAGGCGAGACGTGCAAGCTGAGGTGACTGGAGAGATAATGAGGGTTGGGAAAGGAATAGTGTCCCCTAAGCCAATCCCATGAATAATTCGAGAGCGTCCCATAAGGCAATCCCATTGATTCGAGAAGATAAGCAGTTTAAAGTGGAGTAATTAGGTGGTACTTTTATAAATTGACAAAATTTGGGAATCATCCCTTCAGTCTATTTTACTTGGATCCTTTTTGTTTTTTGGACAAACAATTTACATAATTTTTCCATTTTAACAAACGTTTCATATGTTTATGTTCTTCCAAAATTTTCAAATTTAATTTTTAGAGTTGAAATATGTTCCAAATTTTTTTTAGTCTATTAGAATAAATAAGGTAAATTGTCGTGACATCCGATATTGATCTTGTCGAAACTTATAAATGATTTAACCAAACAGAGCTAAAAACTTTTCAAAGGGATGTATCATCTACAAGGGTGGACAGAAATGGTTCCCTTATCCTATCTTCCTTCTTCGTGCACAAATAAGACTCCAAAATCCAGGTAATAGCGAACAGTTCTATCTTTTCATCTCCAATAATGGCCAAGGCTATTGCAGGATTCAGCATGATCAACCCAACACTGCATAGCTCAAATCTCCACCCACACAAAGCAACCCTCATCCCACAACCCAAACTGGTATAGTGTCGTCTTTTTTCTTTCTGCCTCTAAACTCCATCCATTTTAACGTGCTCTATTTGACCATTTATTATGATTGTTGCAGCCTTCGAACTCTGGAATTTTCGGTCATCAACAACTGGTAAGTTCCTCTGATTTCCACATACAATGGAAGTAAAACTGATTGACGAATTCATTATATGGAAGTAATCAGAAGTTCATGGGATTTTGTGGAATAAATAGATTGAAGATACAAAGCGCCAAAGAGGCTCTATGGGCAAGGTGAGTGCTTTCCCAGATTGGCAATTGATGGCAGTTCTAGTTGATCACTTGGACGGCCAAAGAGACCTTGTTACCCACAAATCTATTGTGCATCTTAGCGATGAAGCTATAAAGAATGTCTGTAAGTGCTTATTTAGGCTGACTTTATGGACATTTATTATTGTAGACTGCAGATAGAATTAGGCCATTCAAATGAAAACTAACCTTCACTTTAACCATTGTTTAATATCAGACAGTCTTTACATCATGTTCACATGTTGGGGATGTCTGTTCTTTGGCTCCATGAAGGTACAATACATTCACTTTCAATGGGTTTTGGTTAATCCAAATTGTCGAGTAATGAACAAGATTATGGCTACAGGATCCATATTATGACTCAGAGGTGTACAGGAAAGATGGAGGAGATGGAACAGGACATTGGGTCTATGAGAAGGTGAACTTCTTTTGTTGGGACTTTAGTCTTTAACAATGACACCACGTTGAAGGTTTTGTCTTTGTAAATGTCTGATCTTGCAGCAAGAGGACATTGAAGAAGCAGCAAGAGCAGACCTTTGGCGGGAGGAGCTGATAGAGGAGATTGAGCAGAAGGTCGGAGGGCTTAGAGAGTTAGAAGAAGCTGGAAGGAAATAAGAGCTTAACAAGGGATATTGGCATCCATTTGTGTCATTAGTATAATATAGCATAATCCAGTCTGTGTATACATTAAAACACTTCAGATACAGTAGCTGTTGGCAATATAGGGATTGTTTCAGTAAATTCTTACAGTTCTTTCCCTGTAGAAATGGGAAACAAACGTAAACCAGCAGAAACCATCCAATAGGTAAAAAGTATCAGTTCTTCTACCATCAGAGTTAGTGACAATCTTGTATAAAAATCATCACTTATGGGTCTGATAATTGTTTTAGGTTCATAAAGAGTGAAAACTAAGGATAAGTGAGCATCAGAGAGATTCCCAAAAGACGATCATCATTCTCAAGCTGAGATCTGATGTCCCTGTCTGTTTCATCGTCACTTGCTCAATTGATCAATAGAAAATTGGAATCCACAACTAAGCAAATAAACAGTAAAAGTCTTGAAGAAAAAGCCAGGATAATAAGGAACTCGTTCATCAAGTGAACAATAAGTATATTTAAAACCATCACAGGCAAAGAGAATTGGAAAACTTCCTCCAGTGTGGAGACGACGAGAACAAAAAAACAAACTTTGGAACCATTGGCGATAGATTCACAAGAAACATCAGAATCCAGAGCCACTGGGGCGAATGAGGCTAGGGTTTACAGAACGAAGTTGTATTATAGATAAGGGCATCAGCACAAAGTGTCCGAAGGAAACGAAGATTTGTGTATGAAGCCTCCAGCCCAGTATGAAGGCCCATGATTTGGTTTGAACCGGCTGCTTGTTTTGTGATGGGCTTGAATGTGCTGATCAAATCAAATATTGGGTTAGGTTACTTCTCTGCCCAATGACTCAATAATTATAGTCCTTGCAGTTCTAAAACCCAGTAAAAAAGTGACCATCTGATGCAGTGAAAGGTAAAGCAAGTAGTTTTGAATTAAAAAATGATGGGAGTAAAAGGGCTCTGTTTGAAAAGTCGGATTGACAAGAGGAGTTGTAAAGAAATTGGCGGGATGGGAGGCGCGCATGCAGCATTCAAATATGCGTTTAAATTTACTGCTAACTTTTTCGATGGACGTTGGGAGAATTATTGGCGGACATTAAATAGGGTTCGTTTGTTGCTTAGGCTCTGTGTGCTTTCCATTTGAAAGAAAAACATATCTTAACAGAGAGAAAGTGAAATGACCAAAACAAAAGGAGAGAAATAGAGAGAAAGAGAGGGTTTTTATGATATCGAGAAGAACAGTAAAGCAGGGGAGAGTACAAGCTGCTTGTGCAGTAAACAGAGCAAAATGCAGTTAGCACTGCAACAGCCACTCGCGGCAACGTGCCACCGGCGGAGCATCCCCATCTGCTTTGACAGATATGAAGAGGCAGGTGGAAGGCATGGTTGTTTTTCGACCATCCGGAAATAATTTGACGGGAAGTTGTTAGAAGAAAATAAAAATGCTAAAAATAAGAGAGAGAGAATTGCTGAAGCCTTTATATTTTTTAAAGGATTCAACTAATATTGAATCAACTAATAAAAACGTGTAAAACAAACCTCAGTTTTTATCTAACAGGCATGGCCTGAACTCGATGAACAAATGGATGGCCTAAGGGTCCCGCATAACATAGAATCCAATACAAAGTTAAAGGACTTGGTAGATTATTTGTGGTTTCAATGCAAGCAGAAACACAATGTACGTGGGCTGTTCATCCTTACATCATCCATGTGATTGCCAATACTGCAGCTTTCCAAACAATGTTCCAAACAGAGCATTAGGGTTCCACAAAAGGTTTGGTGGGTTATTGTAAAGATCTGAATTTTGTGTGTTTTTGGGCATCCAGTGATGGAATGACACGAGAGGAACAGTAAAGTGAAAAAGGTGGATTCTTTTGATAGATTGTTCACGAGGGTTATTCATGAAAGTAAATGAGGCGGCTTTTTGAATTTGGGGTATGGATTCACCATTTGTATGAACCTTAATTAATTTGCTTATTCACTCCGTCCAACTTTTTGGCTGTAAAGTGATGATTTTAAAAAGAAACAGAGGGAAAACAAGAACAAGTTCAGAGCATAATGATGTCCAAATTCAAACATTTCTTTTTCATCTTTTGAATTGGTTTTGGCTCCACAAACCCAACATTCTACCCATTTAAACCTTTGAATGGAGTCCTACTTAACCTTCCTTTTGGCTTTCCCATGCGTGAATGCTCCAAAGAGCACGCCTAAACAGGTGCAGCTAATGCTTTAGAACTAAGAAATGATAGAAATATGCCCAAAATAAGGTTAAAGAAAAGGCAAAAAAAAGAAGGGTTAAAGTCCTTTTAGGAGGAGAGGATAAGGAAGTGAAGGATCTGTCAATGGCATTAGTAGAGCAAAAGGGTATGGGTATAGCAGCGCGCTTAAGGGTCTAACTGTTATTAAAAGCAGAAAAGAGGTAACTTTTTGGGGTTCTAAACGCTATTAAATTCTTGGAAGGTAGAATCGTTCACCAAATTTCTGGGGAAAAAGTAATACTCATTCAAAAAGATTTCGAAAACCACGTGATTTCATGAAAAGATGTTATTCCCCACCACAGAACAGACAGCAACTGTATGGACATGGCAGTTTGATGCCCCCACACGTCGGTTATTATCCCTGGCGTTGGCTAAAGCAATAGCCAAAGAATATTTCTCGCCTCTCCTTTTCTCTATATATGCCAACCTTCCTCCCCTGGCCTCATCAAATCAGCCCTTTTGCCTCCTCTTCCTCTTTTCTTTGTCTTAGGCATTTTCACAAACACATTGTAGACCTTCCAAACAGGTGCATTAATCTATCAAATTCCCAGAGCATTTTAAGGGTGTTTTAGATTCGTCTTCGAGAAATTTACTGTTTTTTTTTGCAGGAAAATGGCGTTTCTTGGATTAGTCTTGGTGGGTCTTCTTCTATCTTTGGGATGTGATTCTGTTCATGGCAACAATGGAGGAGGAGGTTGGACTGATGCCCACGCCACGTTCTACGGTGGGGGCGACGCTGCTGGTACAATGGGTATGTAAAAAGATTAAAACTTGCGCATTTTTATAGAAACCCTCGAGCTGAAGTTTACAACCACAGGCATTTCTGATGTTTACTTTTTGTTGTTGCAGGAGGGGCTTGTGGGTATGGAAACCTATACAGCCAGGGATATGGGACGAACACAGCAGCTCTGAGCACAGCCCTATTCAACAATGGACTGAGCTGTGGGGCTTGCTTCGAAATCAAGTGCGTAAATGACGCAAGATGGTGTCTTTCAAGCTCCATTGTGGTCACTGCCACCAACTTTTGTCCACCAAACAACGCGCTCCCCAACAACGCCGGCGGCTGGTGTAACCCTCCACAGCACCATTTCGATCTCTCCCAGCCCGTCTTCCAGCAAATCGCCCATTACAAAGCCGGCATTGTCCCAGTGGCATACAGAAGGTACTAAATTTGTTTTAACTCATCGCTAAAGTGAAAAAGAGACTAAGCAGATATACAAATGCAGGGTTTCTTGTCAGAAGAAAGGAGGCATCAGATTCACAATCAACGGCCATTCATACTTCAATTTAGTTCTTATAACCAACGTCGGGGGCGCTGGGGATGTTCATGGAGTGTGGATCAAAGGGTCGAAAACAGGGTGGGAAGCAATGTCAAGGAACTGGGGCCAGAACTGGCAGAGCAATTCGTATCTGGATGGACAAAGGCTATCGTTCAAAGTAACCACCGGCGATGGGCGGACGGTGATATCCAACGGCGTAGTGCCAGGTGGGTGGAGATTCGGTCAGACATTTAGTGGGCTGCAGTTCCCATGAGCCGGAAGGCAACATCAGAAGAAAACAGAACAGAGTTTATTTTCCTCAAGTCTTTTTAAAAACCTTTTAGGAAGTTGTGCTAGAAATTTGCAGTGTTGGAGTGGGCACTGTTTTTAATGTGTCCTCTTTCTCCCTTTGCTTTGGTATTTAGTGTTTTAGAGAGAGTTTGTGGGTTTGGGCTTGGGGTTCTGCTGTGTGTTTTGAAGGCAATGGCAGTGTGAAAGATGGTGGCAGCGGTAGGCATTTGACACCCGCCACTTTGTTTCTGCGTTATAGCTTAGGACATGGGAGTGTGTGGGGTTTATAATATGTAGTTTTGTATTAGGTTGGTTAACTCAAGAGGCTGTATTAAGAGATGTCTGTAACTACATCTCTTTTGATACCTATTAATGTTCTTCTAGATTTGGTGTCCTATTTTCATGGAGGAGTGTTTTAAAGAAAAATTGAGAGGATTCTCCTTCGATTCAAGATTAGAACGAAATATTCTTAATAAGCGTGTTGAAACTAGCTAATGCGGACAATATTAACTATTAGTAGCTTGGGTTGCTACAAAATCGGAAAAGTAATTGACTTTCAAGCACCAAAAACTGGATAGCTAGAGTTACAACAGCAAAGAATATAAGAACAACTCTCTGGAAGAACACTGCAATGTCACGAACGTGCAGGGTAACACAGGTGCATTTGTTCATTTTTCTGCCGAAGGTGTATGACATCTCAAGGCCACAAGTGCATTTATGGGTCTTCAAGCTCCCATGAATCCTAACACCATTTAAGTTTTAGTGACAACTCAAGCCACTCCAAGTTTGGTACAAAAAAGTGACACCTTTAGGAAATAAGCATATTACCAAAGTGGTCAATTTGAGGCCCAACTTTTAACCAAGCCCACTGGACCTCGCAAAGCCCCAATTTAAGCGCATTTTTTAAAAATTGTTTAAAGGGGAGATTTCTTCTGATTGGAGAGCCACTTGTCATAGTCCAATTGGCAAGTCAAGATTCCACGTGGATATATTCCTCAACCGTCTCTCTGGCAGGAGACCCCCCCACGTAGGAAACGTGTGGCCCCACATTATCATTAATCAACCAATGGAAGCATAGAAACAGATTGAAGATATTACTCAAAGGATAAAGCGATAAGGCCCCGTCGTCCCCTTCGAGCAGTCCAAAACTCCCGACCAATTTCCAGCCGTTAGATCGTGAAAATCTCGTGAATGAACCCTCAGATCTGAAGAGCGAACAAGAACCACAAACTTAGCATGGAAGTGATGTTACAAAGGCCTCCAAATTACTCCCCCATTTCTTCCTCAATCTCCCCCACACAAAAGTAGATCGTTCAGTAGAGATGGCCACCGTCACTACTCAAGCTTCCGCCGCCGTTTTCCGGCCATGCGCCGCCCGATCGAGATTCCTTACTGGTTCTTCCGGCAAACTCCACCGTATGCTGTCGGTTAAACCAGTCGCTGCTTCGTCTTCTTCATCCTTCAAGGTTGAAGCCAAGAAGGGAGAGTGGTTGCCTGGTCTGCCATCTCCGGCATACTTAAATGGCAGGTAAACCATACACTAAAAATCTACTCTTAACTTGCGTTACAAATTAGAAGTGATTGGAAAAATTGGGTTTTCTCCTAAGCCAATGGTTAAACGAAATGCAGTCTTCCAGGGGATAATGGATTTGACCCACTGTCTCTAGCCGAAGACCCAGAGAACTTGAAGTGGTTCGTGCAAGCGGAGTTGGTGAACGGCCGGTGGGCTATGCTGGGTGTCGCCGGAATGCTTCTGCCGGAGGTTTTCACGAAGATTGGAATCATCAACGCTCCTCAATGGTACGACGCCGGGAAAGCAGAGTACTTCGCATCGTCTTCGACTCTGTTCGTGATCGAGTTCATCCTTTTCCATTACGTGGAAATCCGAAGGTGGCAGGACATCAAGAACCCCGGCAGCGTGAACCAAGACCCCATTTTCAAGCAATACAGTTTGCCCCCAAATGAAGTGGGTTACCCCGGTGGGATTTTCAACCCCCTCAATTTCGCTCCCACTCAGGAAGCCAAAGAGAAGGAACTAGCCAATGGTAAGCTCTTACAACTAAACCTTCAGATATAAACTCCAGATTTGTCTTATGATATGAATTGGTGTTTATTTCTTGTACAGGGAGGCTTGCGATGTTGGCGTTTTTGGGGTTCATTGTGCAACACAACGTGACAGGGAAGGGGCCGTTTGAGAACCTTTTGCAGCACATTTCTGACCCATGGCACAACACCATTGTGCAGACGTTTAGTGGCAACTAAATTTGGTTTGTAGGAAGAAGGTTGGTGTGTTAAAAGTAAATGGTTGAGATTGTTTTGAGAGCTTGTTTTTGGAATGTGATATGAAACAACATAGTGGATCTCAGTGTACAGTGGTGGGAGGCTTCCCATGTAGCTTGGATGTTGTTTAAATGACATGATCCTTCCACTTATTACACATTCCATGAACATGAATTGCCTTTTGCAGCTTCATTCATATTCAAACTCTAAATCATCAAAACTTTCTTATAATTCTAACGAGATAGTCTTAACTAGTCAAGATATTGTAAACATCTTACAAAAAATCGAAGAACGCCTCGCCCCTTTTTCGAACTTCAGCTTTGAAGTACACTGAAAGGATAAAAACTGTTCCTTAGCTGATCATCGTTGATTGTTCTTCTTTAACTTGGGATCTGCTGTTCTGGGCTGGATTAGATGATGTCTGTTAATGCTTCAAGAGGGACCAATCAGATACAAAAATACCACGCTAACTGTCTTTCATATTTCATAACAGTTTAAATTATACATTTGGAGTAAGTTTTTGTTGCAGAAAAGGGAAAATAAACATTATTGCATGAAAGAATTCTCCCAAATTCATAATTTCACCACCTTCTTGTTTGTAGTGTTGTTTAGCAGTCAGCAGACTACGTTCTGACTATATATCTTTTGATGGCTGTATATCATGCAACCTTGGAAGTGATATTATATGGTCATTGTGTTTAAATAATCTACGGGTGGGGAAATGGATGTTCTTGAACTGTTTGCCAATGGTAGTGTACATCGTGAACAAGACTCAAGAGGGTGTAGAATTGTAACAGCCAAAGCCCACCATTAATAGATATTACCGTCAATCTCACGATTTTAAAACATGTCTTCTAGAGAGAGGTTTCCGCACCTTTATAAAGAATGTTTCATTCCCCTCCTCAGTCGATGTGTGATCTCACAATCCACCATCTTGGAGGCTCAGCGCCTTTGCTGGCACACCGTCGGCTGACTGGCTTTAATACCATTTGTAACTGCGTAAACCCATCGTCAGTAGATATTGCCCGATTTGGCCCCTTACGTATCGCCATCAATCTCACGGTTTTAAAACTCATCTGCTAGGGAGAGGTTTTCACACCCTTATAAGGAATGTTTTTGTTCCCCTCTCTAACCAATAAGTGATCTCACAAGAACATATGACCAATTGAGTTATAATAGTAATACCTGTAGGTAGAATAGATTCCAGTATGAGACGTGGAAACTTAACAAAAAAAAGATTGAAATGTTCTTATTATGCGAACAACAAGCTCATTGGCTGCATACAGTATTATGTAGAAGCTTTGCTTTATGCCTTCATGAGTGATCTGTGTAGAACCTATGATTGAAGGGTCAGTGTTCAAAAGGAAGTTCAACGTATTGGGAAGGAAAGATCAAAGAAGTGAAAGCAAAAGCATAAAATGGAAGTGAAAGTGGAAATTGGGAATACATTTGTAAAGTTAAAATTCTTAGCAATCCCACTATCAGGTAGTAGAGAAATTGGATGTTCCTTTCTTCTTTTTCTTTGGGTTATGGGGAAGTGATGCTTCACATCCACACTTCTTTCTTGTGGATGCTTTTTCAAACAACGGAATTTCTACCTACTTTTATTCAATCAAATGTCAGAGGAACACCAAAGAAACTGGGTCATTAAGTAACTTAGTGGATGGGATTCATTACTTTCATCTGTTCCAATCATTTCCACGTTGAGGATCCTTGGGAGGGAGTCTCACATTGGCTAATTAAGGGGATTATCATAGATTTATAAGTAAGGAATAATTTCCATTGGTATGAGGCCTTTTAGGGAAACTAAAAACAAATCCACGAGAGCGTAGGCTCAAAGTGGATAATATCACACCATTGTAGAAGTTTGTGGTTCCTAACATTTGATCTTCTTTTCGAATTAATCAAGATTTCTTATGGGTTCTAAACACTAACAGCTACTGCTAAATAGGAGCCTGCTACGATGTAGTTGGCTATTAGGAGCATTTAGACTTCTAAAACAATCTATAATATGGCATAGAAAGCATAAGCAGAAAGACGTGTTATAGTGGGAAGTTGACTCTTAATCCCTGTGAGCTTTGGGCAATTTCTTCTGAATAAGTCAACTTTGGCTGAAAAGCCAATAATTTAGGGTGGAGATGGTGGGATTTCATGGAGTAAAAGCTTCTGACCATATTGATAAAAATAATCAGATTACATAAAAGAAAGACCTTTCTTTTCAGATATTTGAAAGCATGCACTTGATGATAGTGGAAATAGCACTAATGGTTGGATTTTACTCGCACAGTACAAATATAATACAAGTCACGGTGTAAAGTTGATAACCCATTCTTTGGGTTTAACTTTAGTGATTGAGACAGAGATTTCATATTGTTTAACTGAAGATGGAAAAAAGAAAGAAAGAAAGAATAAAAGAAAACTGAAATGTAAGCAGAAAGCCATTTGAAATCTATGTTTCTTTCACTGAGTGAGAGTTTCAGTGCAAATGGACAACCAGGCTCACCAGAATTGAACAAATAGCAATAAATTCAATTGAACAAATAGCAATAAATTCGCTAACTTCCCTCAGAACTAAACCAAAGATAAGCTTATGGATGTGAAGCAATGGACGGTAGTTTTCACATGGGAGAGAAAACAGCAAAAGGAAAAATAGAGAAATATCAAGAGAAATCCCAAGAATGATTTGTGGCATTAGCTTCTGGGTCCTACAGCAGCTGATTTTCTGCATAATATGTGGTTTATATTTCATCCTACTAACAAAATATCTACATATTCCTTTGCTCATCGATCACGGACGACGATGACGTTTATCATCTTTGTTTAAGTGAAAATACTAGTTTTTGTGTGACATTTTGATCATCTAACATCTTTTTTTCCACAAAAGAGGGAGGCAAGGGAAAAGGATTTGGAAAAGGAGAACCCAAGTTTATCACTTCAGATCAAGGGTCAGAAACCTTCCATCCAAGTTTGTATGTTTTACCAGTAGAAATGAAAAAGAGTGGAAAAGAAAGGTGTTTCTGTGATCCAGTCTTTTGAAGTAAGTTTTTTTGGTGTTTTGTAGGGATTGAAGGGGAAAGGGACTTCACTTTTCCTGTGTTATTTTTGGTTGGTCTGATATCTACTGAGGGTTCAAACTCAGACCTACTCTTCTAGGAGCCTTTTTGGTGGCTCACCAATTGACACTCTACTTTTGACATGCTTAGCTGTGTGGAATATTTCATCTTGTCCTGGCAGTTGGCATTATTTTGAGATATTGAAAGACATCTTCATCTTTTGACAGTGACAGATATGGGTCCTGCTATATGGTTGTTTGTATATTTCCAGGTGAAAGATGACACTCATTTCTTTAGATCTTATTAATACAATGATTTGAAGTTTGGGTTTGGTTATCCAGCCAGGAGGAGAATGCAAAGGGATAGCCATCATCAAAATTGAAGCAAACTTTAACTGCATTTTTATACATCTGAGAAACTTTTGCTGCAACTCTACTTCAGCTATATTCACATATGTAAAGATATGTACAGCAAAAGGATGGCTAGCAAACCCACAAACTCAAAACATTAAAAAAAGAAAGAAAAAAAAAAAGGAAGCAATGCCTGCTACTCTTTCTATAGAGACAACAATACCAGGATTCTTGAAAAACTGGATGGCTTCTTGGGCAGATGAAGCTTGAGATTGATGCTTGTCTCCACTTGATGCTTTAGCTTCTGAAGTTACAGAGGTTTTTACAATGAACCTGAAAAATTAATTATACGGAGGAGGAAGGAAAGTGACCCCTAAGGCAGATTAAGGGAGAAAAATCCAACTTCCCTTATAAAGTGGACTAAAATTTTACATCACTAAAATACCATTCACGAATGCTCACGGAAAGTAAGAGATCTTGAGAACGCTGCAGGGTTGGCTTGCAAAACAGGAGATAACACTTCAGATACACTATTCTTTTGACCACCCTTTGATTGGAAGATCTTAGACAGATTAACAGCTTTGGTTGAATCATTCTTAATACCAAGTGTCTCCCATATCGAACTCTTAGCGGCTTCATTTGGATCATCAATCCTCAAAGTTTTGGGAACCAAAACAGATCCTTTTTTCTGTTTTGGAGGCTCTTCCCTCCCAGAATTATCAGCCTGGAGTTTGTCACCATCTCTGGAATGCTTCCCTAGTATAAGAGAAATTGGACCAGAGTTTGGAGAACAGGGATGTGGAGAGAACCAAGGTACATTCCAAGCACCTGGAACGCTACAGCTCCAGTATGTCGCAGGATAGAATGATAAAGGAACTCCAGGAGGGAAGAATGCCGGTGGAGGTAGTGGTGCATTCCATGTACAAGGCCAAGGAACACCGGGAAGATATGGGATTTGAGGGAAACCATTGATGTTCTGCATCTGTGGTTCTTGAGGGCACTTCCTAGCTCCTTCCTCCGTTGAACTTGACACAGTCACTGAAGATGCACTGGAACAATCATCGCCAGTTTCCCCACCCTTACAAGGTGCTTTAATTCCTTGGTCTTCGAGTCTATGAAATTCATTCCTAGTTCCATTCAAGACCTTTCTTTCCGGAGGATTGAGGACAGTGGCCATAGATTCACACACAGATGTGTTTGCACTAAAATTGAGGACTCGGCCATTGCTTTTGGATGGTAGGTGGTTGACCCCATTGGGAATATCCATTTGTGCAGCTTGAAGAGCCTCTGAGATTGTAATATGACGGTAATGTGAGGCAGAGTTCTTGTTCTTTCGGCGGCCAGCTCCAACAGGGACATTTCTCCTATTACCGCCTTCAGTCCAATATCTTTGACAGGCTTTGCAAAAATGGCGTGGTTGGTTGACATTATAATTATTGTAATAACAAAACTTGGTTTCCATGCTATTGCAGCGGGGACATGGAAGTATTTTGTCTGGCTTCTTCAATTTCTCTTTTGAGTTGGGTGCGTCATTTTGTTCCTTCTCTGGTTTGTCATTCTCATTCATTGATAGCACTTCAGGATTCATGTGTGCCTCATTAGCCGTTTGTACACATGCAGAATCCTCCGAATCATGTAGAGTTTCTTCTTTTGCAGCTGAATTCTCAGTGGCTTTTCCTACATCCTAAAAATTGAAACAGTTCTTAATACTCTTTAGATACTACAGATACCATATAACTTCAAAATTTATATATCAGAAATCAGTCATGTCAGCGAGAAAGCTCCACCT